TGAGGGCCCGAAAGACTTCGGTCGAAGGCCAATTGCGACCTCACCGGAATCTTTCCGCCCCCTTCCTGGAAACGTTCCGGGGCGGATCGATCCCTGAATGGTGAGACAGCTGCAGCTGAAAGACAGACGATAAATATTCCAACAGGGCCTAATAGTCGTGCGAGTGAAGTAGATCTCGTATTTTGGAGGACAATTGAATATGAATTTGGCGCCCGTCGCCTTAGGAAAATAACGCAACAATCTAAATGAAAAATATGACAAAATTGTGGGAGAATATAATTGGCTATCAACAAAAGAAAGTCAAGCCTCTTTTGAGTTTTCAAAATCATCTGGACTGTATTTGTAGGAAAACAGTTAACAAAGTTTGTTCTTTGTAAATGCACTTAAAACAGTAAGCAAACTGTGACCTTATAATAAACATCTGTCTAAAATATCGTCTATATGTGGTTATGGGAAAACAAACAATATTTTTAAAGACCCTTACGTTGGTCCGCGTTTTGGTAATGAATATTATCTTTGCACTTGGCGTTTAGCACACGCGTATGCGAACATGGCGAGCTTTTAGCAATTCCTTGTTAGCATCTTACGAAATGTATCGGGAACAGAATGGAGAATGTGCGTATTAAACGTAAGGATGTATAGGGTTTAATGCTCAAAAATTTTCCTTTTAATGAAAGTATCATGTTGGGTAGATTGAAAGCGAAATCGCTCTTTTTGCAGCGATCAGAAGAAAAATCTTATCAACCTGATAAATTGCGAGAAAGCAATCATGTCCTTAAAATTTCTTAAAAGTTAATGTCGCAGTGATATGAAAGGATTAGCTAGATTAACCGGTGTGCCTTTTATAAACTGGTTCGCTTCCACGCTTGAGTTGGATTTGCAATAAACATTGCAAATGCTGTTTGAACTTTATCCGCTGAAATCGAATCAGCGATTTACCAGCGGTAGTAATTTGCTACTCTCTTCAAGTTTGACCTCCTGAAAGTGAAAGTTTCAATGGAGATGCACAGAGAAACCAAAGAAACCCTGGAACTGTTTTTCATGGGAAGTTTCTTCAAATATACCTGCCGATTTGGTGCCAATTCCGTCGGGAGACGTGTATGAACAGACCTACCGTGTCCCTTCTCTTGATAGCTTACTTCGTGCCTGTGAGAGATTAGGTTCTACCATTTGCAACGACAAACATGGCTATGAACAAGTGGTGCAGAAATGTTTTTGACTCGCGTAAAAAAAAAAAAAAAATAGGACAGAAGCAAAAACCTCAGAGGGCATTCTCTTTGATTTGCAAGAGTAAAGAACGTTCTCTTCCTAGGCCACAGAACAAGTTTTCATGCTAGGTTCTCGCCATTCGCATTGCCAAGTTCGCTCCAGAGTTTCCTGTCGATTCTAAAGCCAGTTTGAGTCTAAGAAACTTCAAGTTACGCTTAGTTCTTTAAAACCAATGGACAGAAATTAATAAAACAAAGCAGTGAAACAAGCTTGCTCAAAATACCACTTTCTTAATTAACACTGAGTCTGTTTTTGTGTTTAACATAAATTGAACGCTTTGAAAAGGAGTCTTTTGTTCTGTCAAGTGATCATTTGGTTTTTTTGCACAATAAACTCTGAGAAACTGCTGTTTTTGTTTTTTTGGTGGCCATTTGATTTGCAAATAAAATGACATATCTTGTTTTGACGAAGGCCTTTCTTTAATTTCTGAGCACCTGCAGAAATTGTTTCCATGAACTTAAAGCAATGAAAATGCTTTTGTGTATTGATTTGATATAGTTAATTCTTCAGTCTTTCCTGGATATAAACTTATAATTTGCTCTCTTAAGTTAGAACTGCTAAAAATCGTCCTTAATACCGACCTCCTTCTTTGTCACAACGAACAGTCGTTCATGTTTTATGTTTCCAAAACTAAAAGGATGTGTTTTATTCAATACAGAGCACAATTAGTACAGACCATGCTTTCAAAAACAAAGCAACAGGTTCCAGCCGCTCTAAGTTTCCTTTCACACTTTTTACCGCGACACCTGCTTCAACAAAACATTAGCATATATTCTGCAATGACAAAATGTTGGATGCTTCAAAACATCAAAAGAATTAATATTTTGTTATTTACGTTTCTTTCAAGGGTCGATTTTAGCTTGTGGCTCTTTAAAATTCGCAAAGCGTTGGAAAATAGCGCATCGTTCTCATTCCGTCACCGAAAGCTATTCCATCGGTTCATTGAATAACGAACGCATGAACAAACTCTATTCGCTATATCTACGACCATAAAAGAACGAAACAACTGAAACGAATAAACTCAAACGAAAGCTGATCCAGGCGTAGCATTCACTTGAAGTTTTAGATACATTGTAGCATTCGTTTGAAATTTGAGATACATTGGTCAGGATGAAGTTTCGAAGCCCTGTGAGCATGCCGAGTGAAAATGTTCGTGAGAACAAACAGACAGCGCAAAATTTGAGGTAATTTATTTTCTCAGGCTCTAAAAGAGTTTCCTCTTCTCAAATATGTCGCGGACTTACACGATTCAGTAATCTGCGTGCTATATTTTCAACAGTCGAAAACCATTTTAGCTTTAGACAATTCGTTCACGCCATGTTTGGGATCCGCCCATCCGATAATAGGGAATTCGTTGGACTATTGTTCAGTTGGACGAAACAAAACACTCTTCTTCAAATGTCAGATCTTTTCAACAGCAGATTTCGCGATCGATGTGCACAGAGGTCGATGTGCTTCTTAGAGTGTCATTTGAACAAGGTCTTCATTATCTTACTTTGGGATTCATTTTGAAAATGTTGCGAAGCAGTGTTCAGATGTTTTCCTGGGGGATTTTAATTGCGCGCTGGTATAGTGTCTTAGTCGGTCTTAAAAACAATTTTGAAATTTTCGGCTGAATGCAAAGTTTTTGATATGCATATCATTTGTTTATAATGAGATTTTCCTACGCCGGCCGTCCATTTGCTGTGGCACTGTTCGTTTGACTTTCACCGTGAATCATACCGTGAGCAATTTGGGATTTGGTTCACATTTTGTGAATCAGTTTCTCAAAAATATTATTTTTAACATTAGCGCAGGTTTGCGTTTCATTTCATAGTTCTTTTAAATATTGCCCGACTTCATGAGGAGAGGCACTCTCTTACCTAACCGTAACAAGAACGCTTCCGTTTAAACTGCTAGTAATCCTCCCTTCCTTTTCGGCGAAGACCGTTGCGCGAGTAAAAAAATTAGCGAAGAAAGATTGCGCGTCACGCGGAACTCTGGGATTTTGGCGCACCAAAGGTTCCGCTTGGCGGACTAATATCAGTTTTTTCACTGCTTTGTCATGACTCGCGCGACGGAATTCGCCGAAGAGGAGGGACTGCTCGTAAAACTCACGATCTAGCTTCCGTTCAACTCAGAAAATACATTTTGATACTTTCTAGTCCAAAGAAATTAATTTATAATTTCAATGATTTGGTAAACCCTACATATTTACTCAAGATTTTACCTCATTGGCGAAGGGTTTTGTTTGAATAGCCCACTGTTGGAGTAACAAATATTACCCTAAAGCGTGAAACCTTCTGACCTCTTGAACTGAATTGGGTAAAGTCAAGGAAGTTATTTTAGACAGTTCTGTGAATTCATTTGGTCAATTATGAACTCATACCTGAAAATTGGCTTCGCGGCACGACTGGTACAAACATGAATAAATTCTGAGTTTCATGAAAGAAAATCAGCCCACAGATCTGTATAAACTTGAAAAATGCGGAGGCGTTATTTTTGTCAGAGAAATATTTAATCATTTATGGCGAGAGTGACAAAATAAATCAATGAAGATTGATTACTCAGGCGGATTCAAGTTTATTGACCTCACGATCTCGTGGGAAGATTCTCCACCATTAAGCTGATTAACAACTTTTCACCGAAGTGGAGGTGGCTAATTCGCGGGTTTGTGAATATCCACCTCTAGCCATCAACACGGAGGTGGAAAGCTGTTGTAGCATATGCTAAAACAGAGAGATAATTTAGTATGAAAAGTTGATTTTAACTCATTTATTCCTGTAACGATTATATCTTTGGGCAAAAATCCCGCGCGCGTTGCTCGAAGGCGAATAGCAAAGGATATTCGGAATTTGAGAAGCCAATCAGAGCGCGGCTTCAACGTCATCGACTGTTTTATTTTAGACTAGAACCAAAATAATCTGTTTGCTGTAAATACAGTGTATTACTGCATCTGTCATTTATTTATTCGAAGTATACGCATTCTTTCAGTTCACCGCCAGACGCCAAGAACCACAAGGGAACGATTCGCCGACAGGAGAGAGAAGGAAGCCCGAAATGTTACCACTGTGACGGAGAGGAAAACATTACTGTTGAACATTTCTTGTTGTCCTGTTCAAAGTTTGAAGAGATTCGCTCAGAGCTACTTTGCCAACTCCGCGGCAAGCTGGAAGCTATCGGAGAGAGCGGTTTTCAAGTATGGGAGACCTTCACAGCAAGCAGCCCTGCATTCCAATCCAAGATCATTCTTGGAGCGCAGAGCTTTGGCGCCGAAGAGGACGAGGCAATCAATCACTTTCGGACACAGTACGTCGCCAGGGCCTGGAGCGAGAGGCTTGTGATATGAGGTCGTTCGCTAGCTTACGTGTAGGCCAGTCGTTCGCTGACGATACATAACCTCGTTTTCTGATAAATTGTCCCTCATGACTAAGTCATGTTTTCAGTAACCACTCCCTCTTCTAGCTCTATATATCAAGTAAAGAAATAGAATTATTGTGAATTTTTTCGAGGAATCTAGGGGCGAATATATCTATTGTAATGGCTTGTTTACAGGCTCTCTTTTCTTACTCTCGAGAGGAGACCTCGGAAACAGTCATTCTCATTGGATTTTCGGTAATTCTTCTCCGCCTTTTTATTAGTCAAAGAATTGAATCGCTCATAATCCAGCCAAAAAATAGTTCTCTAAAAAAAAAGCAACGAATTATTGAGAAAAAAAACAAAATGAAACAGAAAAATTAATGAAAAAAAAACCTGTTTGAACGACAACTTTATTCAAAACACAACAGACTGATTAGGCATTTAAAGCGTGTACAAGAATAGGGATCGTAATATATTTCATATAAGTATTAAATAAATTTTTAGGTCAGTTCTGTAAGTATTTCTGTCATCAGCTTTAATTTAATGTAATAAAATAATCTTCAAGGTCTTGTTTTTGTTGACGTTCGATGTATAGTTACGAGAAAATGAAAATCGATAACACAGCGAACAATGGCCTTAAAATTAATTCTCATGGGAAACCACTGAAAGATTTTTAGAATGCGCTACTAAATCCGCGCATACGTTTGGGCGCCTTACATGCTGAAATAAGCCATGGGCGAATCATTTTGATCCCGCGTAAAATGAACCACTTCAAACGCTAAGAAACTTTTTTCCAGTTTTTTCATTCCGACAAAAAGTCTGCATCATCGCTTGATTAATTTTGCAAAGTTTGAAAAATCTGCGACGTTTTACGAGAACCCTTACCAGGGTACACTATCGAGACCTGTCCCAAAATGACCATGGTTTGTCAAGCCCTGATCGAATGACGTTGTTGAGAACATAAAGGTCTTATTCCCATGCACTATTCAACTAAGAACGGACATGAGATCACCACTTTTTACATATCGCAGGCTAAATGAATAGCGAGCGATAGGCCACAGAAATACCAGATATGTCATAGGATACCGAGCTCGAGGCAAAGGTTTTGATCTTCTGTAAGTAATTACCATGTTCCCTAACATGCTATGTGCTTAGTTTGGAGAACTCCGTGCTCAAAGCTTTCATGACATCCTGGTGAGAAAATGTTTCATGGCCACTTTTGATACGAGCGTAGTTTTCTTTAACGAACATGGCAAATCGACTAGGAGTGCGATTCTGTGGTGTGCCATCCTTCTTCAGCGGTGGAACAAGCTCCAAGCGGCTGTAATAAACGAGAAAGAAGGAAAAAGAACTTGAACAACTGCAGATCTTAAGCAAAGCCCTAAAGTTGAGAGAATATATAATATAACTTGGTTTTATCAACTGAGTTGATGATAAATTGATAGCCGGCCACGGTAAACTGACTCTTCGACTGTTAGCCCTGCGTCATTCGCTCTGAAATTGGAATGATTACTAGGTAGTCTTCTCTACAACTGTTTCGTGGTCTTGTCTTAGAAAGAGCACATTGAAAGTTGAGACTAAACAAAGGCTGTGCTCTAAGATTCATTCAATTTTACGTAGACTTACAAGATAATTTGGTGTTATCAACTAAGTTGATAATTTAAATTGGCTACCGTAAAGAGTTTCTATAACTGACGATTCAAGCGTTAGCCCTTCGTTAGGGAGTTCCTAAGTTTATTTGCTCAAGGGAGGTCCTAAGTTTCTTTTGCTCAAACGAAAACTGCGCCTCCAATTTGTCAAGTTCGTCATTCACAATCGGTGTTAATCTTCTCCATGGTTGGCCATCCTTGTTCTCTCTTCTCTAAATTTCATCATACTTATATCTTACAGTTTCCTTCAAGTTTAAGTTATTGTGTTCGTCACAAAAAGGAACGAAAAAATGCTCGATCACAATGTCGCGACGCAGCTCTGAATCTCGATGTTTTTCTGAAATCTTTTTGGTAGTAAACTAACCAAATCTCTCTCAAGAACGACACCACGCTAAAACCAACGCTAAAAAAGACATCAACTTACCTGTGACAATAAGCACATCGACTTTTCTCCAAATTTACTGACTTAGAGTGACGGCCAAACCTAATAGGTGATAAACATCGGCAGATAAAGATCACTAACACATAATACTCGTGTTTTTGATAGAACTCATTCCCAGCCCCAATGTTTAACGACCGACTAGTGAGCAGGTCTTCATTAGTAGCGCTTCGACGCGAGCGTTTCTTTGCTTGCGAGAAATTAAGACGCCCTGAGCAACGTGAGCCGTCGAGGGGTCTTCAAGAGGTCTGGCACTAATTATTACTAATGGTAAAAAACCTCTCCCGACGCGTCTCAAATCTTCCCGAGGGCGGAAAAACGCGCAATGATCAGCGGTAAATGATCCATTACCACAGATTTCTAGAAGTGTTAGATAACGCACTTTCTAAAGATACTCACGTGTTCCCACATTTGGTACACCTGTACGTGTATTTGGCTTTGATGGTGTAGCTGTGGCACCGCGAGATCGGCGGCAAGTCTTGATGGACATGATTTGCACGTAATGTCCTACAATAGAATCAACGATAAAGAGACTGCTGTGAAATGGAGTTCAGAATGTGGTTACTACATCTGTAAAAGCCGGTTAAATTAAATAAAATAGGGTGGTAATTTTATAAAGAACGTCTCACCATCTTTTCCAAACGGGTCCGTGACCAGCTTTGACCCCGCTAATCATCCAGGCGGCAGCGTGACACAGCTCGTGTATTAGTGTGTCACGCAAGCGATCTGCAAGTCGCAAAAGTCGTTATTTAAAAGAAGCGAGAGCACGACTCAAGTGCGAAATTGGTCAGACAAATAATGCATCAGGTGCTCGATTACTTTCTGCACAATTTAAGTGTGAGAAATATTTTCTTTTCAGTGTCCATGGCGAATCATCAGAGTAAAGGTGAATTTGACAAGGAACTAAAGAAAATTTATCGTAAAAACAAGGAAACTTCCTACAGCGCGGGAAAAAGCGAGTGACCAAGACACGACTGGTCGTAGATCTGCATCTGATTGGTTGAGATCTTGGCGCGAGTTTTTAGGACCAATCACAGAGCGACGTAAAACAAGACAGATGCAATCTCGCATTACTTTTGACACTAAACTGAAAACTACTCTCAACCGGCCGATGGGTCAAATCGAGTGAGGCGTACTCCTTCACCCGAAAGTGGAAACAATGGAAATATTGTGGAACAAATCAACAATATCTTGCCTGCGGAATCAATAACTTTGTCTGCTAATTCTATCCTGGCCATACGAAGACTGCCTTTCCTAGAAAAAGAAAAATGTAAAAGTTGCATGAACATAGTGTTAAGCCATTTACGAGCGAGTGTAGTTGAAACCAAAGGTGATGCGGTGACAACGGCTAGTTGGAACAAAGGTAAATGTCAAAAGGTGTCAATAAGAGCTTGAGGTAAAAACAAGCAAGCTGTCTGAAGCTCGGGTAAACGCGAATAACCAGTTCACGATTGATTATAGGGTTGAAGTGAAGCGAGTTTTACTCCGATTTCAATCAACAATCAAAGTTACCTGCTGTAGTAGCAGAAGCCAGCAGTGCTGCGCATTCTTGAATTCCACGATATCTGGAAATCTGACGGCAGCTGACGAAAAATAAATTTCAGGATATTTAAGGCTTTACTATTGACAAATTTAAAAATACAAGTCAATTAATAAAACTAAATAAATAACTTACCTCTATTTCAAATACCCCCTAATTCAAACATCATAATTTCATCGTGAAAAAATAAGTATCAATTTCACTTTTCTTTTTCTAAGTGCGTGGGTTAAAATAAAGGTTACCGTCTTTAGAAGAAGAAATAAGTTACTTTTAAACGCAATTTTTATCTTCATAACTGCCAGGAAACTACAAATCAGAAGGTTAATTTGTATTACGAGGTACAAAATCCTGTAACCTGATTGGCTATGCTCCATAGTGCCCCGTATACTACTGGTATCAGTTTTTACCTGGTTATCAAAGACTGTTCGGTTGTACAATTCAAAGAGATCTCTCACAAGTTTCTCTTTGTTCTTCTTAAAATCTTTCTCGGCGGAGAACGGGGTAAGGATATTTTCCAACACGCTTTTGGGTCGAGATGGTTTAGCTGATAACAATCCTAGAAGATAAAATATAAGTTATGTTTTGCACTCAACGAGCAGGGTAAGACGATGGCTCACTAAAAGGCTTGAAAAGTAAAAATAAAAAGTGGGTTAAGTTTGTACTCGAGCCAGTTGGCCCATCTAGTTGTAACTTATCTCGGTTTCCATAGCATGAAGCGATCTAGAGTATTACCACTTCCCCTTGAATGAGATGCCAGTCCATCGCAAGGTTACCCCCAGCATTTCATCAGGCTTCCCTGATAATCTGCTAGAACCCACTTATACTTCTGCTGGTGGAAGAAGCACTGTGAGAGTAGAAACTCTCGTCTAAAACCCAGACCCATCGACCTGGAGTCCAGTGCACTGACCATCGAGTCAGCGCGCCTTGAAAAGCACGATGCAAAAGAAAATGGACGAGAAAATAATTTAATGTTAGTTTTAAGATCTTATATATAATATAAGATCTTAAAACAAACATAAATACAGGACTTAGACAAATAAACCTTGAGAAGAAAGCAAGAAGAAGAAAACTACAAAAACAACAAATAAATTTCTCACCACTGTCATTTCTGGGTTTGGTTTTAGGAGTCCTCCACGAGAAATCTGTCGAGGGTGTCTGAAACGTAGGACGGTTTGGGGCTGTGCAAAGGATAAGGAGAAAGGGGATTGTAAAAAAAGAAGTGTGTATATATATATTTTAGTCATAACTGCACGCTAATTTCGTGTAAGATCGCGCGTTGGTTTGACGTTTATCAGACCATATGAATTGCTGCATAAGTTGATGCTATATAAAACTATATATATTAAATATTATTATATTATTATCAGTTTGTCAGTGCACTGAAACTTGAGTGTCTAGGACGAAACGTACCTAACAAACTTTGTTTAAATTTATCTAGTTTGAACGCTTTTCGATTGGGTGTTGTAAGACCGAGAGCGATGTCGTTACGGTGGCCAATCGGAACAAAGGGATATATTACAAGGAGCCAATGAAAACACAAGGGAAAAAAAGGCGCGGGAAAACGCGGACAACCAAGTCATTAGTAAAGGTCTTAAATCTGATTGGATAAGACGGTGTGCAAGTTCTCGGGGCCACTCACATGGTAAAGATATGATAAACGGTGGCAATCTGGGACTTTTTTTTTTTTTACTTAACTGAAAACTAAACTGCTTCATAATTTGAGCGCTTTCCGATTGAGTGTTACAAAACCAAAACCAAAGGAATCACAACAGCCAACCATAGCAAGGAGAATGAAGTAGCCAATGACAACTCAAAGTAAAAACAAGCAAACTACCTGAAGCGCGGGAAAACATGGGTGATCAAGTAGCGATTGGGTTTAGTTTGAACCTGATTGGTTGAGAAAGTGGTGCAAGTTTCTGGACCAATCACAGAGCGAAATAAGCGACACCAAAGCAATCCCCAATTACTTTCGTCGCTCATTTAAAAATTTCTCTATCTTACTTGAATGGGTGGCGGCCTTCCTGGATAAACTGGTCAATGAAGTCTTTGAAGGTGCATTACCTGCAACTGAAAAGAGAGAAAAAATTACGTATTTGAAAAGTTGGCAACGAGAAGCTCCAGTGCAAGTTTAAACCGAAAAAATTGTGAAAATCTTGGCAAACCCAAACCTCGAAATGAATGGCAAGGAAAGTAGGCAACTTTCCAGGGCTTCATTTCTCCATGGGATGGTTTTTATTTCACCTTATTTTAATTAATTTTTTCCAAAGCAGGTTGAATTACCTGGTGTTGCTAACTCGATACAATCTTCATTTTCTTTGTCGTCATCAAAGAATTCGCCAGGTTCAGGAGTGAAACCAGGGTCACAAAATACGTCATCGTCCTGAGCTTCGATGATGTCATTATAATCATCATCATCATCATCATCATCATCCACAATAAACATGTTTAGACTGTAGCCAAAGAAATTGTCAATATGATCAACACTGTGCAGAAAACAAGGCTCTTATTGAGAAAGAGTACTGGTAAGTTGTTTGGTAGAATGTCCCAATAAGCTTTTATACCCTAACATCAGTATACACATTCTCCACACTATTCTCTATACATTTCCTAAGGTGCTGACAAGGAGAATTTGGGTAATAATCAAGTGATTCTTTGGTTGATGATCATTTCCTTTATTCTCATGACCTTAATGTGTGGTTCAAGGCTGATCTTGTAAGGAGAAATTAGATGCTGGTCACCCTCAAGGGTCAAAGGGTTAATCCTGTTAGTTGTGTTTTTCCACCTGGGTTAAGATAATGAATGTTTAATCATTTGACTCACAATATTTAAAATGTAAAAAATATTTAAGTTTAAAATTAAAAAATTTAACTTTATAATTTATATAGCACTTATTGCAAGCCTCTAAGTGCATTACAATATTTAAACATAAAGTGCTTGAAAATCCCATCTGGCAGGAGGCAGACCAGTTGGCTATTTACAGACTGCAGCTGAGGAGTTGAACCTGAGGCGACAAATCCAGTGAGTGGCAGGGTGGAGGACTGAACCCAGGACCACCAGATTAACAATTCCAGCACCCTTACCCCTCAGCCACTCTGCCTCCACTCAACATTTAGAGTCATGTTCAATTGTAGAGTTAGTCTATCAATTGAGGATTGCAAAGTTCTGATTTTTATTCTGTTTTTAGTAGTTGTTAAGTTGAGCGATAAAACATTGCACCAGGAGTGATCAACCATTGCTATAAATAGCATTGTATTATCCCATCTCATTGCCTGATGAAAGCAAGCAGTATACCACCAAAACTTTGGAATATTCAATTTAAAATAATCCTACAGTTAATGGTAACTCTTGATCAGGTGAAAAATGATCAAACAATTATTTAATGAGGTGTCTAGTTTTATTCAATAAGTAAATTATGGTGTGAATTATATTAGCAATCATAAACTCAATAATTTACATATAGACATATTTATATTACCTTGATTCTGGTTTTCTCTCTTTTGCAAACAATCCTGATTGTTTGGGAGTCCGGATATTCTGTAAAACTATATAAAAAACATAATTTTTTAAATTAATTCGATGTGTCTCAGGACGGCATATCAAAGTATGCCAGGATCAGATTCAGTAACAATAAGAATTCTTAAAGTTAAATGAAAATTTTCTTACACTGTTCAAAGTCATCTACATCATCACTTTCACTTTTCTCTGGATTGTACTTGTTCAACAGTCTTTCACTTAGGCTAAAAACATTCAACAAGTGAGAAATATCATTTATTGTTAGTAATCCACTACCTTCATTTTTCCTCCAAAATGATCACTTGTCAATTGCCACTTTTTAAATGATTAGTAAACACACACACAAAAATTAACAATTGTAATATGCAAGTTGTCAAGTTGTTTCTAATACCTAGCTTTCACAGGACTGGTTTCTTCAATACTGCAGTTAATGGTACCCATGCTAGAGAAAAATAGTAAAAATGTCAGGTTATGTATAGCAATGAAACTCAGGATAGAAAGTATTTTATTATTAACTCATAACTGAAGCATCAATGTCTGGGCTACTAACAGAGTAAGGTCATAAAAATTAGTATATGTAACAATATGATTTCAAGTGCTTTTCCAAGACAGAAAAATTGCACAAGCATATAGGGCAAGTGCAATTTGTAATCTTTGAAAAATTACTTATACTAATTAACAACCATTTAATTGAGAAATCATGTTATTACTATGCAATAATACACCAAAAAAAGTATCATCATCAGAAAGTCAAGACAGACAAAATTTTGACAGCACACGCACTATTTGTAATTTGCACTTGTGTTACAACTTTGCACTGGTGTTACAACTCTGTACTAGTGTTACATGAAAAAGGCACTTGTTTCCAGCCAATCAGATGTGCACAATTTTTCATGTACATTATTACAAAGTTTACATGATAGCTTTCCTGTTACAGAGACTATGTAGAATTATGAGAGTAAAAAAAGGCTGTGCAGAAGATTTATTTCACTTAACCTGGTTTTAGCTTTGATTGATTCTTTTGATACATACCTTTCCCCATCAAAGTCATCATCATCATCATCATCATTATCACTTTTTCTATCATAGTCACATGCAGAAGATATTGCTAAAACTTGCATTTCTTCACTATCCAGAAGATTCCTATCATCATTATCATTACGCTTATCATCATTGCTTTTGTTTAAACACGTGTGGTCTTTATTGTCTTCCTGACTATCACTGCAGCTGTCAGTGTTGTTAAGGGAGCTGGATTCTTGAAGTTTGGAGAGCTCATGATCAACACCCTCGACAGGACTGTAAAATCTATTGTTATTTTCAGAGCTGTTATTAAAACTGCTGCAACCATTTCTGCAAAAGTGGGAAAAAAAGAAAAGCATCAAGAGAGTCACAATGTTGCAAGTCTTGTGATAAAATTGTGCTCATTGACCACTAACCTGAGTGTAGTCCTGCTTAAATCTATTGACAAAGCACCTTGGCCTTCATCATCTATCACAGAGTTTAACATTTCTGTTTTTCTTTTTTCTATGTTGTTGCATTTTACATCTTTATCGTCAACATCATCATTATGCTCAATATTGTCAACATCAGTGTTACTTAGTCCATTGTGGACACTGTTGTTGTCACAAGGCTCATTACTGCCACAATGGGAACCAGTTTCATCAAGTCTGGACAACTCGCTGACTTTTGCAGGACTATCAGATAAACTGATATTTTCGGTGCTAACATAGCTGCAGTCATCCCTATTAAGACATAAAGATATTTTCTTTACAATGTAAATGGTCAGAAAAAGCTCATTCCTTGTAAAGAACTAACAGTGGGTTCCTCAAAACCTTGATGCAATTATAAAGAAGCCCATCTGGTATCTTCTACTTGCAATTTTAATACATTATTTGGAAAATAGGTGGTGAGAAAAGGCAGTTGTAATGGCTGGAGGCAAAGGGTACATTTTCGATACAACAACAAACATATAGTAATACAATCTTCATATAGTCACAGTCACAGCAAACTCCCTTAACTTATTCACATGGTAGTGTCAAATACCTAGAGGGGAGAAATATCAATCCATTATTCCTTGAAGTGATAAACTTGTTACTTTTTCTTATAATATCTTTGCATTATCCACATAACAGGTAACGAGAATGCTCAGACTTATCAGGTAGAAGTTGTTCTCTTAATCTGACACCAAATTCTCATAACTAATCACTTCTGGGAGTGAAAGGGGTTAATAAACTAGCTATATGATATTATTACGATCACGGTAAAATGCTTATAATAAAGATTAAAATTATTTACAGAATCAGTATGGAATTTCATCTTCACAAAGTAAGCAAGAAAATTAATTTGTCTTGCCTTCATTTTACCTTGACTGGGACCTGATCAATTCCCTTGATAAGTTCCTGCTGCAACTGTTACTAACTTCCAAGGAATTATCTAAGAGAGATGAGCAGCCTTCCTCTACAATCATGAGTGATTTTGCCTCTATAATGTCTTCGTAATCATCCTTTGGCTGATCACACCTTTCAGCATTGTCATCATCATCCAATGCATCATCATTATCATTTCTGTTCTTAAACTCATCATCAGCATCATCATTGCTATTTGTGTTTCCGTTAGCATCACTTTCAGTGTTGCCTTCCTCTCTGTTGTTATAAAAACAAGAATTCTCAACTTTGAAGCCTTCAAGGCTTGCTGTTCCGTTTGCATTCTCCAACCCCTCTTGAATGCATTGTTCTGTCATGTCAAACCCAGAACTGTCCCTCTCAAAACTGTGCTCAAGTGTGCCACTCATTAGATCATTGTTTTCAGAAAAATACATTTTTCCGCAAAGCTGAGAATCAGTTGAGGATTCTTGATTTACATTTGAGGTATTTCCTAGGGCATCGTCACAGATATTTACGTAATTGCTATAGTCGTCTGCATCATTGGAATACATGATCACGCTTGGAGTATTGTCCTCCTCCTCAATTTCTTTTCCGTGGTTAGAGATCAGACCAACTGACTCCGTCTTTGTAACAATTCCATCTCTGTCTCCATTTGATTGCGATAATTTGATCAGCTACGGAACAATATGAAATCATCAGAATGGATTAGACACTCTCGCAAATATTATAACACGTACAGACCATGATAAGGTGAAAGAGGGATGTGCTACAGTACCGTACTCGAAATAAGCGATCAAAATCGGGAATGCATTAATCTACACAGCTGATTTGATCACGAGCTAGGAAGAGTCTTCTTAAACAGCTAGACCTCATAAGACACATTGTAGATCGAAAAGTGTCAACTAAAGGTCAAAAGATACAACGGGCGAGATATTAAAACAAACATTTGCTAGAGGAGCATTCAATACGAAAAACTGAAATCGATTACGATTATTTAAAAGCTAAATTACCTTTTCAATTTTCCCACGCAAACTAGGCTGATCAAACCATCCAAATTTTATGCCCATGTTTAAAAATCGTTCCTCTACCAGTTTCTTCGTATACACTTCCATGATTCAACTCGCGATCGATCTCTCAAATCTTACTGCGAAAGTCAGAAGAACTACATTCGAATTTTGGCGCTGAACTAATTGGTCAAGCTGAAGACAGAGAAGGCGAGGTTACAAAAGCTTGAGAGATGTTGATTGGTTGGCTGTTGAGTAGCCAAGCCTCGAGAAAAGTCAAAACAACATGGCGGTCTTTACTGCCTCAGCAACCCTTCCAGTTTTCAGAACAAGTTTATTTATGTTTAAATGCGTTTGTAGAAAATCACCTTTAGCTGATGAGGTGGTCCTTGCGCGCCACATATGCGGATCGACCATCAGGACTAGAACGACTTGGTTTGATCGTCAAAAAGGCTCTCAAAATTGCACCGCGCGACGCACGAAAGTAGAATTTGCGCCTGGACCAAATACATTCCAAAGAACTCAATCGACGTTTACAGAAAACAACTCTTCTCCTAGCACCAGGTGTACCCCGGAGTTGATTAAATTGCCGTGGAGTGTCCAACTAGGACACTTCCAGGCAAAAGGAAGCAGGTGCTATCATTCTCGACGGCAGCTGAATACGGCTAACTTTGTGGACAGTTGCCCTCCTGGCGCACAGCCGTATCTACGGTTGATTCGTCTCGATAAACCCATAGGAACATGGCTCTTGTACTTGCCATGCACATGGAGCATAGGGCTTGCAGCTCCCGCAGGCTCCTTACCAGATCTCAAATTGTTGACCCTTTTTGGAGTAGGGGCCTTGGTGATGAGAGGGGCGGGGTGCACCATCAATGACATGTGGGATGTTGACTTTGATAAGAAGGTGAGCAGGTGGAACAACTCTAGGAGTTGCAAGGAGATTTTCAAAGGTTTGACCTGATCTCAAATTCACGTCAACTCTTGTGATGGTCCTCAAAATCTTAAAAGTAGTGCTGTTGCAATTTACTTTGGTTTTGAAGCCTCAAGGAGTGAAAGTTCTGAAAGACTGGAATTTTTTTTTCAGCCCAGGGTCTTGGTCAATAGCAGCTAGAATAGGTTAATGTAAGATTGTTATTGTGAAAATCTGTGTACGGGTCTCTGTGAATAGGGCACATGGAGTAAGCTGAGTTACAATAAGGTAATAATTATATGAAGGAGTTGTGGGACTAAAATTGTTAGGTCCCAGTCTAAGATTTTCAAACAGAGGTCTCAACATCTTAGGGAGACTGAGATTTTACTATTTACAGCTCCTGTGTCTGTAATGCTTGTGTCTCCCACAGGATGTCCTAAAAAAAAATTCAGATAAAATCCTTAACCCTTTCACCCCCAAGAGTGTCTGGCTTATAATTTGTCCTTACAGTATCACTCTTGAATCAAATGTGAAGGTTATGAGATTGAAAGAAACGATTTCCAATTCAAGAAGCTCCAGACTGTCAAGAAAATTTCCTTGTCAGTACTATAGGAAATGTTAAGAGCACAGTGTGGGGGATATAAATGCTTATGTTAGGCATGAGTGTGGGTATGTTCCTAGAATTTGATTGGATATCTTCTGATCAGGGAAATTTCTGATTGTTACATTTAGGTTACTAGAACCATTTCCAGACCTCTGGCTGCTGGATCTCTTACACGTTTCCAAGCATTGGTGTTTCTTGGAGCCCAACTAAGTGTTGGTCTGTCTGTATTACTCTCTCTAAACAACTACAGGTATTAAAAAATCACCACTCAGTTATTAAGTGATAATAAATTTTTTATTGAAACAACATACTGGTACATCTCTCTAGAATTTTTATTGCAATGCTGATGACTAATTATTAGATTTTGAAACTTAATCAAACTTGATAGATACTCAGTATTTTTAAACATCTTTCTTATTCTGCTTATACACATGACGCTTCTGTCATTGCTGACCCCAGCAGTATGCCGGACAAGTTCTCTATAGAGCTTTGGAGCAAAAAAACATAGGTGTGAAATTCGATTCCTTATGTAGATGCAGACTTTTCTTTCTCTCTCCCACATTTGCAACAAGAGGGAAAAACAGTTTTCTTTAAATTTTAAAACTGCCTCCCTTAATTTTTTTTTCTTGATCTGAACACAGTATTATCCTTGGAGCTGCATCTCTTGGACTTGTTGTCACATATCCTTTGATGAAGAGAATCACTTACTGGCCACAAGCCTTCCTTGGTATGCTGATTTACTAATTCTTCATAATTCACTAAAAAAGCAAAAAATTAGGTTAAGGGCACCCTGAAGGGAACTTGAAGGAGTACTATAAATTAGGAGCTGAAAGAGAACAAGTTATTTCTTGTCCTAGATCACAGGGTGTCCTGCCCAGCTTATCTGATAGTCGCAATTTGGTGACCCTAAATCAGAAAGTGGTGGTCAAAAATTTTTAAAAAAATTGCTTGACAATCAAGCAGAAAGTCATTTTTTTTTGTTAAAGAAAGAAGATCATTTTATTGAAATATTTAAATCAATTTAAGGTAAAAACACTTTCATTGTTAGTAAAAAAGAAAAGATGTAGTTTGGCTCTTGCTACCATATACTTTTGCATCTGCAAATTTAGTAGCCAATTGAAAGTATTTTGCTACTTGCCTTGGAGAGAAATTAGGCACTGCATAGAGTGCTGTAAGAATTGTGAGCATGACACTTGTCATATATTGTTGTGATATACTTTCTAGCTGCTGAACACTATGAAGTTAACTAAAACTTATCTATATTTTAAATCAGGGATGACGTTTAATTGGGGTGCTCTGCTTGGCTATGCTGCAGTTCAAGGAAGCTGTGATTGGTCTGTCTGTTTGCCATTGTACATTGCAGGAATTAATTGGACACTCATTTATGACACTATCTATGCCCATCAGGTTAGTGTAGTGAAATAAAAATTAGAACAATTCTCTCTGCTAAAGAATTTTGGTAATTCTGTCAACAGTAGTCCAAGTTTGGAAATATATGGTTGATTTCCATTTGAGGCCTAATTGTGAAGAGATGTGAGAAAGAAAGATGTGAGCCACATGTCATTGATGGTGCACCCCGCCCCTCTCATCATCAAGGCCCCTACTCCAAAAAGGGTCAACAATTTTAGATCTGGTAAGGAGCCTGCGGGAGCTGCAAGAGATGTGAGAAGGAGATGGGAATCAAGTTGTCTTCTCAGGGTTCATTCATTAACACCTGAGTACTATACCTCTCTTGATATGAAATAAATTTTATCCTGGGTGGATGGTGTTTTTTTTTTTTTTCTGCTTCAAAATCAATAGAGAATACTGTGTCTTCTACAATGATCAGCAATTTTATTCCTAAATTCCATTCAATAATTATGGGTTAAAAAATTTCCTTCTGCCCATGATTTTAACATCTTCTTAGGTCATCATAGTGTAAGGAACCAATGATCATTTTAGGACATCCATCACCTGGACAATTACACCACACAAATGAATGAAATCTGAACCCTTCAGCAATGTTTTGTTGATATCTTTCACACAGGATAAGGATGATGATGTCTTAATTGGTGTCAAGTCCACAGCATTGCTATTTGGAGATCAAACAAAGCCTTGGCTAACAGGATTTAGTGTGGTTATGCTTAGCAGCCTCATTCTTGCTGGAATGAACAGTGATCAGGCTTGGCCATACTATCTGGGACTGGGCTGTGTTTCTTCCCATCTGGCATGGCAGGTAAGGGAAACACGATTAACTTAACCTGGAGTTAGTGTTAGCTTTTAATTCAGTATAATAGCTTCGCAAAGGGATTTTCTTTCTGTATTTTTACCCATTGGTCTTGAGTCATATTAAGATCAGCCCCCAAAAACCCTTAGCTTTTACACAAGCACATGTACATGAGAAATTAAAGCTAAGGTTAAATTTTAATCTCAGGTGAATGTTAACCCCCTTTTGAACAAGTGGCCCTGAATTTATAGGTGTGTGAACCAAGGGCACAAGTGAATTCAAGAAGTGGCAATCATATAGCCTGAGCAATTAAAAATGTGGTTCTGTGGTCTTATGTAGCGCACTCTATAAGTCCTTAGGGTACTTCTCCAACTAGGGCCCAGTTATTCAAAGGGTGAATGATGCTATCCAATAGATAAGTTTCTATCCAGTGGTTGAGTGTCAACAAGAGATGCCGCACTATCACTAGATAGAGATTTATCCAGTAGATACAGGGTTTGTATGGGTCCTGGAAAACCTGGAAAGTCCTGGAATTTTACTTTGACATTTTCCAGGACTGGAAGCTCAGGTCGAAGACTATAGGTCCTGAAATGCCTGGAAATCTGCTTAACTCGAGTAATAAAGTTTTCAGAATTTACGTTATAAGAAATGTATGAAGACTGTAAGGAGAATTGATTTTGAAATTTTGGGAATGAGAGGGTTCAAGGTAAAATTTGGAGTCCTGGAAAAATCAATCTGAGTCCTGGAAAAGTCTTTGAAATTCATTTCTGAAAATGGGTATGAACCCTGTAGATAAGGCTATCCAGCTTTAAAAGAACTATAAGAAAGGATGATTAAAGGGTATGTATCAGGTATTAGGGAAGATAGGCATATACAAGAGGGCAAGTTGCTGCAAATGGTCTCCACTGCCAGTTTTTTGTGCCTGGTTCACTGGATCATTATGAAGAATGAGGAACTCATTAGCCAACATAGCTAGGGTGTCTTTTCAAAACTCTGACACCTAAGAACAGTATTCCTTCACTATATCCTAATCAAAATAATGTTTATGGAAGTAACACGTCTTGAGCAAACTCAGACAGATTTTGTGAAAATTTTTTTTCAGATTAAGACTGTAAATCTCTCCAATTCTGCTGATTGCTTATCAAAGTTCAAGTCCAATAAGTGGCTTGGGTTGATTTTGTTTGCTGGTGTTGTGGCTGGTAGTATTGTCAAGAAAACAAGAGAGAAAGAAGAAACTGAAGAGGCAAGAAACAAACCAAAGTTATAGCTTAAAAAAAAAAAAAAAAAAAAAAGTGGTGTTGACTGGGAACACAAAACACCAAATGTGTTTCCATAGGCACAATTACCAGCTTCTGCCTGGGTAATGAATGTGCTCATCTCACCCTACCCCCTACCCCCTCCCCCACCACCTCTGAAGTTGCTTCAAGTTGGGAGGATTGAAGACCTAACCCAAGAAAGTGGCTGAGCAAGTCTTTCCATTCTTATGAATGGATGAAAGAAATTGAAGGAAAGAAGAAGTATTTTTAACTGATCTGTGCTAAGTGAAAGGTCAGATGTAGATAGCATAACCAGATTTTAAGTGGTCATAGGAAACTAGGATTGCCAAGACATGCAAATAAAATTGTCCAGCTCAATAGTGTGATTCAGTTGTGACAAAAACAAATCACTGTATTTTTATGTGCAAATAATTTATTTTTCTTGCTTTTTTCCCTAATTGCTATGTGTATTCAAAAGCTGGGAAAAAATTACACTAGTCAGCAATGAAGCTATAAATGTTTATCCCCATAGTGAATTTTTAATAAATGTTTGGAAAAATAAGTTATTTTCAATATTGATACCAAGGAGCAAAGATGGTACCTTCACATCGGATGATCAATAAGTGTCTGATTTTGAGTAGATCCAAATAGTGTATAACACTATTTCCAGTAAACTTAATTATGGTCTAAAGAAAAAATAGAATCTGAGAAGTTTATACAATGTTGCAAGAAAACTTGGGGAGGAGAGGGGGGGGGGAGTGCAAAATGAAATGTCTTACCATGAAATAAAGTTTGACAGTGTTCTTCCCTTCTTATTTGATTTGTTAACGTCTGCTTCTTTAACAGAAAATCACAAAAATTACCTTCTGGCAGAAGTTTCAGTCACCTAAAACTGCAAATCTTTCCCTAATAAAGATAAAACCTGCCCACCCACAGAATAGAACTCCCACAAATGTTTTCTTGCTTCAGGTAGTATATTAGAGAAATAATTTTTTTTTCTTAAACAAAACCTAAAGTGCCACAGTCTAAGAGTCATGCTGCAAGTGTGTTCAAATTGGACCAACTATTTCTTTCATTGATCAACATTATATTGAAGCATATTCAATAACTATCTAAGATAATGATTATATTTACTATGACTTCTACGCTTTTATGGCTGGCTTCAACCTGATATTGAATTGCTTCATGAACGTGTGCTGTATGTCTAAATTCATATTATTTCATGAATGACAACGGTAACCCTCAATTTCAGGTGATAGTTTAAGCTATTCCTTGCATTTTTTTCTGCACAATTATGCTACATTTGCCATTGGGGTGTTTTTAATGTACAACAATATGGAAGAAAAGTGAAAACTATCTCATTATCCATTTACAAATCTGCCTAACAGTAAAATTTAACATTGCGTGATGCATTGGCAAAAAAAGTATTAAATATGAAGACATTATTTTGCTTTAAGTAATTATTTTAGCCAATCTCGCAATAAACTAGCTTGATTACATGTACAGATGCTTTAGGAAAGATAAGAAATGAATCAGATAGGAATTTGGCAGTTGTAATAAATGCAAACCTATTAATCCTACTCGACCATTAATGACACCAATATTATCATTATTACAATATACTTATATTTCTGGAAAAAGTCCCTTTTTATCTATGATAGTCACAATGCCATTGCATTCATGTATAAAATAGGTAGAAATGTGAAAAATCTGTACAAGGAATTCTGTGCATCTGTTAATATTACAAATTAGCTGAAGCGAGGCAAGAATGGTGATGAGTGAGTTCCACTTGAGGAAGATTGATTTGGATCTAAAAGAAAAAAGAAAGTCAGTTAATTCTTTTTAAAAAGGTGTACGAAACAAATTTTAGACTCTGATGGAAGAGGAGAATTCTGAAGTTCTTCAGTTGTGTGTTTTTCTCCCTCGCTGCCCCATTCTTTGAGATGTCATGTAATGTGGCCACACCCCAAAAAACAGCTGTGAAGGAAATGTGCAGTGTGTATGGAGTCTTGGAAACAAAGTTTTCAGACTTTCTGTGACTCCTACACATATCACTTATCACACACAAAACTAAAATTTTTAGATTTAAAACAATCAAATTAAACTCAAACTTGATTCAATTTTGCTGTCATCATTTCCTTTGAATTATTAATATTTCATGTACAAAATTGTAATCTTTAAACTTAGTTAAGAAACAAAAGAAAGTGATTTAATTGAACTAAGCATTTATGGTCTCGAACCTTGATTATCTGGACTTGTGGTGACTGGGGTGAATAGTTTGATAATTGAGAGTCCAAATCATTAAAAATATAAATATAAATGAGTCAAAAATTAAAACTGAATAACTTAGAAGAGAATATGTATCAATATCATGCAAGCATTAGAGCAAATTCTCAAATCATTGTGCATAACTAGTAAACATTGTCAAAAGTGTTCACAAAAGACTGTTAAGGCTCATCGACAATGCTTTACATCCACCTAACAAGCAGACATTAATCAATTTGTTTCAAACTGCCACCGTGAATGCTGTTAGTTAATATTCATAAAAGAGTGGGACCACAGAAGAGAGTTCAATTAATTTAAAGATCCTAATGATAGCAAGGTCCTTATAATCATGATTTGACTGTAACATCAGTAAAACAGGCAAGTGTTTCCTCTTGGGAATGAGAGGAAAAGGAAAAATTCATGGATATCCCACAAAGTGATGCAAAATACCTTGATAGATGGGCTGATTGGGTACCAAGGCACCATGGGAAAGCTGTAAAGCAGGCAAGTTCTGATTGGTTGTTGGGGTCATCCCCAAAAGAACTGTGGAAATTTAAACCAATAGGTAAATGATTTTAGATCTTCATCTAAATTATCTTTAGCAGTTAATTTCCCTTTTTCAACTTCATATTATTGACGTAACAGCACTGTTTCTGTGCAAACTTGTCACTTCCTTAATTAATCTTTACAAAATTCAATTACAATGATCCCACCACTTGATCACTCGGTAAGTATGAAATCTTTAATTATCCCTTTTACTGATGGGGTTAAATAAAAAAGTATACTGTTTCCAAACCATACTATTCCTTTCATGTCCCAGAAATGATGGATGAAAAACCTCTTCTAAACACTTAACCCTCCAGAAGTTATATTAACATGTAACTTCTCCCAGTAATATCTAAACAAAAACAATTAATGAGAATACTCATTCTCTTATCAGGTAGAAGTTGTTATCTTGATCATACAACAAATTCCTTGCAACAAATTTAAAAGAAAATTTGCAGCAACAAGAAGGGAGAATTGACAGTCAGATCTTTAGAGTTAGAGAATTAAAACATCAGTCAAAGGCACCACTTCTACTATCTGCAATAAGACATTTAGGAAGTAACAGTACCTTGATTGAAGTGATTCTGTTGCAGAGACAGGCCAGATTGTTCCTGCGACTGTCGTGACAAGTGGTTCAGCATGGCTGACTGCAGATTGGGTGCCACAAATCCAATGTGGGTTAGAGGTGTGGTGCCCTTGCCTTGGAGATTGGCAGCTGCAGCATTGAACAAGGTGAGGTTGGGAGGCTGAGGTTGAAGGAGCACTTGTGAAGGAATGGTTGCGATGGGTTGAGTTGACAGACCTGGGTTAAAACCTGGATGGACTGCCTGGCAGCTCTTGAGATCTGGTCTGTAAACATGATGGAAAAAAATTGCCAATTAAAATAACCATTGAAATAAAGGTTTAGGGTAACTGCTGGACAGAGCTCATCCTGATTTCCATTACATGAACTGTCCTGGTACACTGCTAACTGTTCTAAACATGATACTATTCCGTCACAGGTAACCCTGTCACTCCTCTTCCTTCCATGCCCTTCCCTCCCTTCCAGAAACTTTTTAAGTTTCTCTGAAAATTTGCTGCTATAGATTTGAACTCCTGGGTGGAAAGGCAATATTGGAGTAAGTATTTTGCCAAATGACAAAACAAGGTAGCCTGTCTGCACAATAAAAGTGCCTGGGCTGGAGCTAGTTGGCTCACCCAGTCATAGCTTATCATGCATTCTGGAACACAAAGTCACTAAGAGTATTGCTACTTCCTCTGACTGGGATGCCAGTCTATTGCAAGGTTACCCCTACCCAAGCTTTCCATTGGCTTTCACATACAGTTCTCCAGTAACCCTTTGTACTCCTTGGTGGAGATAGCAATGTGAGAGTTAACCCTTTCAATCCCAGAAGTGATTAACATGTAACATCTCCTTTTAACAACCTTTTCATTATTCAGCAGACAAGAAATGAGAATTCTCAAACTTATCAGGAAGAAGTTGTTATCCTGATCTAACACCAGATTCTTGTAATTAATTTACAAGGAAATATGTAACAGCTAGGGGGGAGAATTAGCAATTAGATCTTGGGAGTTAAAGGGTTTAGTGTATTGCCCAAGAACACAACCCAATGAAGTAGCTAGGTCAGTGGCACAGGCCTCTCTAGCACAGTAACTGTTACCATCATTCACAGGCCACTGATTCACTCCAAATTCCCACTTGTATCTAAAATGGTAATACTTGACAAAAATTGAAGGGGACGATTTCATAACACTGCACCAACAAATGCACAATCAGTCACAGCTACTTACCTTCTTGTAGAAACAGCATCCAAAATTGTTGGACTTGATGTGGCCAAGGAGACTGGGGTTTGTTGCTGCCTCAGTGATGATGCCAGGTCAATAAAGTTGTTAGGCAAACCTTGAGCAGCAAGGCCACCAACAGTTGACGCAATTAATCCTGACTGACTTACACTGGAACTCTGAACAACAGCAGGTGAGGAGCGAATAATCTTTGGTGGGGAAGACATGGCAATTTGAGTGCGTGCAGGTGAAATTGTGGAAGACTGAACTGGGACTGAAATTGTTGATGTGACTACAGAACTAGGCAAATGAGTTAAGGGTTGATCTCGAGGCTTCTCCTTAGGTGATGCAGGGGTTTTGCTTAGGAATGAACCTGACTGTTGCTTTGGAGGTATTGTCTGTGGAGGTTGGAGAGGTTTTGTTGTAACTGCTTGTCCCTCTGGATGAATCATATCTGCAAAGTCTAATATAGTGAGAGCAGGCTTTGACTGAAGGCTGTCTGATGATGATGGCAATTTTATGGCAGACTCCTTCAGTGGAAGATTTAATCCTGCAACTGCTAGTGCAACTTGGGTTTTCTGTTCAGGTCCTGATCTGCTCACAGCAGTGCTTTCCATTTTTGTCACACTAGCAGTAGTAACAACAGGTTTTTGCACCGTTAACACAGACGTAGGGGCTGCCATATCAGTGATTATCCGGTCTGACTGTGCAAGATTCTTCAAAACTGACAAAGCCGTTGCTGCTGTGGTTGCAGTCAGAGATGGTGCACGTGCTGGTGATGTGATCGCAGGAGGACTTCCAATGCCCACTACTGAGGAAGCAACACTTGGCATGCCCTTAACATCAGTGCTGCCAGAATTCTACAAGACACAACAGTACATCTCAATACAATAGTCAGAAAAAAATCAATACACAATCAGCTTGTAAATTCATTTTATTCCATGTTCTAAGTACTTCTGCCTCTGATTCCAAGATTACCGGTAGATGTAAGTCCACAGACTCGATTTAAGGTTTGATTTCACTGCCATGAGTGAGGAAGTCAATGATAATATATACTGACCTGACTGGTTTGACTGGGGAGACTAACACTCTGGTGAGCATCTGGAGAGTCTCCTTGTTTCTTGGGGCCAGGAGCTATGGAGAGGAATGTAATCAAGGTCAAAAGCCTGTCCAAGTTTTACTCGAGAGGAAAACAAATACTGGTAAAAGTACCCTATACTAAACAATATAGACGTTTTGACAGGGAGTCAGAGAAGAGTTAAAAATACCTTTCATTTCAAAATAATCCAATTGAGAGTTGAAAGTAAACTGGGACTGCACTAGTTTTGCTTCTTCACACTCTTTGATCAGCTTTGACATTTTCTCCCAAACCAAACAATCAGAAAACAAAAGCAAAAAGGACAAATTACAACTTTATTGCTCTAATTCTCATATGCTCCAAGAATTTTCATTGAATTTTTTGTTTCAGTTCTCACTGGCTTTAGTAATATTTTGGTTCTAGTTTAACCACATAAAAATTGCACTTGAAATACCTTATGACAAATCTTACCTTTCTTAGGGGCTTTAGCTCTGAAAGGAGAAATAAAAACATTAAGTTTGAACATCATAATTATTTCAATTCATTGTAATCAATAAATGCCTTATGAATAAAAACGTTTCTCTTACGGAGGATGGGTGTACTTGAAATGTGCCTGCTTGCTTTCTTTGAGGAGAATTCTGAGAGAAACAAACATAGAAGAAAATAAGATGTAATAAGATGTAATATTCTAATCTTGCAGAAAAAAGCATTAGGCCCAGTTCAGATGTCATGCTTCTGCTTTGCTGAACTTAATTCAAGAATTAAGTTTGACGAAATCAAACTTTCTTATTAAGTTCGGCAAAGCAATTAAGTTCAACAAGCTCTGACATGCTACACAACTCTGGCACGGCAGTGATTCAGACATCATACCCCTGCTGTGCCAAACAAAATTCAAACATTATATCAGCAGGACTGTGTCAACACAGAAGAGTCAGGAAAATAATTCTCCTTTATGGAATATGCTCCTAGGGTGCTTCAGTAAAAGCTAAATTTTGCACAACATTAACCCAACATCTGAATTAGAGTCGTGCTTCCGCTGTGCTATAGTTGAACCTAATTTCAATAAAGTTCGGCACAGCAGAAGCACAACTTCTGAACTGGACCTTAGTTACGTTACAGTAAATGATGATTGTTGAAGCACCTAGAAGAATGATCTCTTATCAAGCCCCAGTTGTTACAAGGGTGGAGAATGCTATACACCCCATAAATTCTATGCCTTGGGAAGCAAATGCTTTGCTGTGGACATTTGTCTGCTGAATAGGGATTTATCCATTGAAAAGCAATATATACCCTTTGATCAACTGGGCCTAGATCAACAAAATTTATGTATTAATTCAGCAAGTATGGATCAAGTGCCAACCTGCTTGTCATCCAGCCCTTTGGCCACAGTGGCCGTACATCATTTTCAAAGAATAGCTATAAGAAAATTTCATATTATAAGAACAAAAAATCCATAACCTGGTGGAAATTTAAAAAAAGAGAAAACTTGGAACTTTTATGCATCTTAACAATGGACATGCAACTAATGTAACCCTTAGTAAGGTCGTAGATGTTTTTCGAAGCCAAAATACAAGATAACGACATAATCCTAGAATTATAAAAAAACTTTTACTCAATGGTCTGACATAGAATACATACAGAAAGTTTGCTCAATGCACATAGTTTTCTCCCCCCCCCTTTGTAAAGCTCAGAAAAATATTACTTATTTAACCCTTCAATTCCCAAGATCTCATTAGTAATTCTCTTTACTGTCTGTGATACAGTTCTTGTGATGTTAGATTGGAGAATTTGATATTGGATCAACTTGTAATCCCCTAGTTGATATTTTTCTTTACTCTCATCACTTGTTTGCTTGATATGGTATTGAAATTGTAAGGAGAAATTCTGTCTTGGTGAGTAAAGGGTTAACTAGCAAAGAATCTGCATACAATCAAATAATGTGCATATGTTACCTTCAACTGTTCCTCAGCAGATTGAGTTCTAGTCTTTGACATTTCAAAAATTTTGATTTTCATTTGAACAACATCACATAGAAGAGTCCTGATTGAGAGAAAGTTTTAAGTTAACAGATCAAAATTCCTATGTACTAAGAGTCCACTGACAAAATCAATGTCAAAAGGAACAAGATAACTATTCTCAGCAAAGCATTTATCATTGTGCAACAAATGAAAATTATGTGTAGTAGTAAATTGCATGACTTCATATATACCTTAATTCTTCTGTCCAAATAAATTTGCGCTTTGGAACGTTCTTCTTTGCTTTGTCCTCTGGCTGGGCAGGTGCCTTCAATCAAAGGGAAAAAAAATTCAATTCTTCACAGCTAAACTATCATCAGTCTTGCCTGTTGGATCACTAGGGTAACAAAAATTAATTTTCATGAATTTAATTTTGTTCCCAAAATGGAAATTCAGCCTAAATTTACACCAGTTCATAAACATGGGGAATAAAATTTTCAAGAACTCGGGTACTAGCAAAAGTGGAAAGTGATTTACAAATAGTTAAACCTACATTAGGATCTGTAGGAGTGGTGATTTCATCATTTTTCTCTGTATCTTCAACTAGCTCCATAGCAGATTTGAAAAGTTCCTTCTGCAATAAAAGATGTCACAATACTAAGGATTAGTAGATGTTCTGATCAAAATCCAGAGCAATATTTCAAGGTTGTCATCAAGTTCATAAAGTTGCTTTTTTACATACTCTTAAATGAAATAATTAAAATATTCTTGCTACCCTTTCTTCTCAACAGAGCTACAGTATGGCCATTTGATATCTTAAATAAAATGATAAATTTTTAGTGTGAACCCAAAAGAAAAATTTCATTCAAGCTTATTCTCCATCAACTAAAGGAAGGAGGTAAGATCTTGAAAGACAGTACCACTAACAATTATCATTATACCCACGAAAGATGATTTGTGCTTGTCACAGAAGAGAGGAAAAAGCCCAAGCCCCCTCTCATGGGACCTTTTTTTTCCCTTCCACCAACACAACTTGTAGCAGATCAAATGTTCTTAAAACATCTTTCTTCATTCAAGAACTAAGCTCCAAATTTACCACCTCTCTTAATATATCTCTCTACCTTGTGATCTTCTGAATTCTCTCCATCTTGTTTGGCACTGCTAAGGGAAAGATAAGAGAAAAACAGATTATACTAAAACTTCACCCAGAAAGGACTGACTGGCCATGGAGAAGAATCACAAGTCAGAAAAAACTTGAGAGCATTTTCCTTCAGTGGCAAGCCAGGTACATTTAACTTACCTTTGTTTTTTACTTTCTTCCTCCACATGTTTTTTTACTTCTTCTTCAAATCTCTTAGTTTGTTCTGGTATGACACGATCCACAGCTGAGAAGACCAGATCAGAAAGGTATCAATAAAAACTTTTTTCATTCCAAAAATCTTGCAGTCATTACATATATCTACACTTCTGAAGCAATTGCAAACACAAACATGTCCCATGCTTCAAACAACTCTTCTAATCACTACATTGCCATCAATAAACCCAGCAACTTGGTGAGCATTTTACATTTCTACCTCAGAAAACTACCAATGGTGGCATGTAATGTTTAAGAGATAAATTTTATGGCCTACCTGCTTTGAGTTTTGCCATTGGCTCCCTCAATCGCCCAGCCTGAACAAAACAGAGAATTATGGTTCACTAGTCAATAACAGTCTAGACTTTTGAAACAACCTCCTAACCAATAAATAATTTGACTACCAATACAATGTAAATGGAAAAGTGGCACCGACTCACACTGCATTACCTGATCATTAAGCAGAAGGTTCTTTGCTCTCTTTACCAAAGTTTCCTTTGTACATGGCAGATAGAAAGCTAAAAATTCATAAATTCCCTGCAATTGAAGTGAAATTTTCAAATTAGTTCTTCTTTAAGTTGACAAAATTAATCCCTTACAAAGTACAGAATGGGAGACAAACTGGACTCCTATTCAAAAGGTCTGCCACTCTTTTGCCCTTCCCCTCCCCCTCCCCCTCCCCCTCTCCCCACAACTGCCTCTATCTCCAAATCAAACATGGCCAGTTGAATAGATGATCGCCAGATTCTTAACATTAGCTTGCCCTAATAAGACACCTGCACTGTAGGCTAAACCTGGCCAGGTAATTGTATTGTTTTCTTGCGCAAGACAGTTCACTCTCACAGAGCCTCTCTCCAGTATAGATGAGTAACAAGGAAATGTCACAGAAGGGGAAAGGGGATGCAATATGTAAACTAGTGAAGCAATACTCCCAGCTGCTTCCAAAGTGGACACCACCTGGCCCAAGTGTTGAATTAACTTTTTTCAGAGGACATACCTATGTATTCAACATTACCACACAGGTTAACTGTCAATTTGCAATCTACATTATCCCTCCACCAATGATTCAATAAACCATGTATAAATAAGCACACACGTGATTTCGATCATTCCTTACCGTTCGAACTTTACTGCTGAGAGTTACAGATTTGGTGGCAAGTCTATAGAGGAGATGAAAGCAAAAACAATTATTTAAAGGACTCAATACACATTGTAGTATTCCATATCTTCCCTGTGACATACAATATTTTAGTCGTTGCTTACACATATTTAAACAATTTCCTGCTGCTGCTGTTGTTGTTATTTAAGAGTCTAGCAAAGCAAAACAATAGCAAAAGAAGTAAAGCCTCAAAGTTACAATTATAACAAGTAAACGCATCCCACTTTTCCAGGTGATTATACTGTATATCTCATTCAAAGGGAGGTTAGCAACATTTAAAAAGAGCAATTAGTACCAAACAAAAGTATACTTACTCAAGCAACATATGGTTGACATCAGAGTTGAAAAACTTGCATTTCCCTTCCATACTGCCACTACCTGCTTGCTTTAATTTCAAGATGCAACTTTCAACATCTGTCGGCAAACACTGAGGAAGATTTGGTTCTGTCACCTCTCCTGAGGTGGCAATTGCTGGCTGGATTCCATTTTGAAGCAGAGAAGAAGGTGAGGAACTAACACCTTTATCAGGTGGTGCACTTCCTGTGTTTTCTGTCAATGCAACATTGCTGTTGCCATTCACCAAAGTAGAAGTGCCTGGTTCAGTTTTAACAGCTCCATGATTGCTGACTTGTGGAGCATTTGGTAATTTTTCTGGCGATAAATGGTTTGTCACTGCACCATTTGTTCCTTGTGAAATCAAACTAGGTGTTGTAGAAGAATTCAAAGAGGCAGTTGTTAAAGTCAGAGAAGTTTTTGCAGTGGAAGAAGAAGATGAATTGTTTGAATTGTTTGTACTCCCAATACTATGCTTCTTTTTGGGTTTCTTCTCTTTTTCCTTCTCGCCACTAAAAGAATTCAAATTACAAAAATGACAATTAACAGACTGACTGCAATCATACCATTACAGCTGTGAAAAACAAAACCATTGACTAAAAACAATTCTAAAGAAGTTTCCCAAAAAAGAGAGTAGCTTTCCTAAACTTATGGATTGATCAATTCAATGCCCACTTCACTGTTAACTCTTCCTTACTTCAGTTCGTGAAAGGTGCTATGTGATAGCGCTGGTTTGAAAGGTAATTGCACAACAAAGAGATGAGGTTCTTTAGAGGAATAAAGACTAGTGACCACTATATCAACCAGACCTCAAAAGTATAAAAAGATACAACCAATCAAAGCTAAGAATACTGCATTAACAGAGAGGAAGGAAAGTCTGGCTGTGAATGTAAAACTAAAACAATTACAAGAAACAGAGTAAAGAATAATCCATTCTGACACAAAAATTTGAGGTGGCAGTATATTTACATCTGACAGTACATGTACCTTGAGCTCTTCCGTGGCTTCTTTTCTTTGTCCGATTTCTTCCTTTCCTTCTTTTCACTTGGGATCTTGACTTTCTTGACTTTAGGCACTTTAGGAATTTTCTGAAAAAAAAAAAAAAAAAAAGGATCTCCATCAATCACAAGAAACGTCTGTGCCATCTTGGAGGAATAAGATTTTTTCCCCCACACCTATGAAATCACAATTTTTTTTTTCCTTTTTTTTTTAATTCAAATAATAAGCATAAAATTTTCCATCTTTTTCTTTCACATCCATCACTTTTGACATTACAGATCATAAACCCAGTGTATGGCCTAGCTTCTAATTGAGTTCTCTATAAGGCTCAGCAGTAAAGTAGCACCAAATTATGTTGAAAATGTGAGCCATACAGGGGTAATTAGTAATAGAAATTACTACCTTGGGAGATTTAAGCTTAACCTTCTTCACTTTCTTAAAGTCCTCATCATCACTGAAATTCAAAGCACAACAACATTAGTATTCATGTTGCAGTACCATCAAACACAAGTCAACAAATCTGTGGCTTTTATTGAAAATCTTGTTGCCAAATTTTTCCTTCTTGCCACAAAGGTCAAAATGGTCATAACTTGGACCATTATGACTGACATCAAACACACCACACTTAACAGCTAGATATGTACCTTTCACCTCCTGGGGACACAGGTCTGAAGTTCAGTGTACCCTGGTTGATGTAGAAGCCACCATGCTCTGTTGTCCAATCAGCTGGTAGCAGCTCATCATACTAAACGATGAACAAGACAAATTAAAAATCTACAGCTCTTCAAAAATCTGAGAACAGTAAAATCACATGGATTGTACATATTTAGAGAAACTAATCAGTGCCATCCGAAAAGCCTTGATCTTTATCTACAGCACTATTGTCCAACAAACTCTTGTAGGTAGTTAAAAGCTTTATTTAAAAAAAGATGAAAAAAGCACAGTGATATACAATGTACCAGTTCCTGGAGTACATATACTCAAAAGTAGATCTGATAATTCTTCAGAGCTGTGCACTGACTATAGGGTACAAAATCAAGTGAACCTCAAGTAACATACTCATATACTTGACCCGTGTCATAGCAACACCTGATTTCCACTAATTTTCAACCCTTAACTCCTATGAGCAAACAAAACAGAACTTCTCTTTCTACTGTCAGTACAATATTAAGTGGACAAGTGATGAGAATAAAGAAATGCCAATTACAGGATTATTAGAAGACCCACTACTAAATTCTCTGAACTAACATCAGAAGAACTAAATAATGGAGATCTGGTAAAGAAAGGGTTGACAAATGTAGATGAAAGTAAATCGTTTGAGTCCAGAGCTAAAACTTGATCATGAAGTCTAACTATGCGAGTGAAAGTTGTCTTGGAAAGTGCTATTAACAATGACAAAAGCTGATGCTTTGACCTGAGAAGAAATCTTTCTCAATGAACACTAACAACTTCTTCTAAAGTTTTAATGAAATAAGTCACCGTTCTTAAATATAGTTCTTTTCAAGAATACTTCCACTTGAACAAACAGACCACAAGATCAGAATTATAATTATAAGCAAGAGTAACAACACACTGTAACAATCCCATTTTAAGCAAAATATCCAAAAGTTCTAAGAGTCACTCACAGCCTCAGTATCATCAACAAAAGGGTCTGTCTCATCATAACCATAAGTGACATCAATCAAATCCTATAAAATAAAGACAATGAAAACATCATGAGAAGAACATTAACAGGGTCCTGGAGTTCCAATGATCTGGTAAATTAAAGCAACAATTGGCTCTTTATTTATTCTAGATCTGGCACAAATACATTCAGGGTTGTTTTATTAAGATTTTTAGTAACTAGACTGTGATACAAGGTAATCAGTACTACATAGTTTTATTTCCATTAATGCCATGCTTTCAAGCTGAAAAATTGAGCTCAGAGTAGACAGTGAAATGCCACTGTTGCCAGTATATTTTGACAACCCTAATATTTAAAGCAGCTATACCATGCTTATTTGAAGTGTCTTTAAGGGGGGGGGGGGTCATTTAAACTGTGATCCTTGCTTGAAGTAAACCTTTCTTTAATTGTTTACCATGGCAGAATTAGACCAAAACATAAAAATTAACTTGAACCACCAAAGAGGTGAAAAAGGTGTGTGTGAATAACATCATGCTCTAGAAAAATATTTGCAACGTCATGTTGTTTCCCATTACACATTCCAATCAGTGTAGGAGTTTATTAGTGTCAGATCTAGAGCAAGATTGTAAGATTGGTGTAGTTTGAAAGTAGTTGTCTCCATTGGTCTAGAGAGGTAAATTGCAGCACTCTTAAGAAGCACTGACAGCATGCATTTCTGTTCACTATCTACATCTGAATCCTCTGCTACTTTAATTAGTCAAAGCAGTGAAATAACTGTCATGATCTGAAATCAATCTTAATCTTTGCCCGCTAGCACTGGCTATTAGAACATCCCTAGAGATCACTTGAGAAATGTGTTGTTCCCTAACACCTGAAGACCTGCTAAGAATTTGACAAAATACAGAGACCACCAGCACACTAACCAAGGGTACTGAGACTCCCAATATAAAATAACTGACACGGAAATTAACAATGTGGACAGCACTGACATGATCAGTAACAATTAAGAGGTTGACTTCAATGAAATTACATCACATCAAGAGGTAGTAGCAATGAGAGTTACCAGTTGATTCACAACACAGAAATAGAATCAACTCAAGCTGTGCAAGTCACATTTGGCCTGGTTTCGGAGTGACCCTTTGATTAAGTCAATTTATAAGAACACAAAAGCTGTGCACCTTGTACGTGGTTGCAAAGAAGAGAGTTGCATTGCAACACAAGTTAAATAACTATGTATTTTTAAAAATGGTACCAAATAGTCAGGGTTGATAGTTGATATTGTTGAATATCGTAACAAGATGAACGAAAATGAAACCTATAGCAGAGAATCAACGTTCTCGCGGTTCTTATTCCATCGATCAGATTGTTAAATAAAGTAACCGGAAACAGAATTTAGGAACCCTTCACTATTTCCTGTTCGATGGAAATCAACTGTGATCTTAGAGTTCGATTAAAGGAAAAATAAAAACCTGCAAATATTGAGACTTAAATTTGTCATTACATTCAATATAGGTAAGATCCACGATTTAATGGGAAAAATCTTTACGCACAAGCAACAATCTCGATTTTAGCCGGTAGCGTGTTTAACAGAAGCGAACAACTTTGTAAATAACGCTAAACTCTCGCGATGTATTAATATCACAAATTAACTGCACATTATAACTGGTATACAAGAAAATACAATAAAGAAATCATGCTTTTAAGGATTTCAATGTTCTCTAAACAAAAGAGCTGAAGTCAAAAACGTTTTAAGATCTTCGAAAAGGCAATTGGAACAAAAACAAGGTCATGTCAAACAGACAATAAATAAGTAGAGTAGCGTAAGCGCTACTCAAAACAAGTGGCTCGAATTATTTTGATTTTACGTTCACGACTGTCGTATCATTACGCCCTCATAACACACTGGTTTAGCCCAATAAAAAACCCTCTAAAGTCACAAGCAATTAGTGTCGTTTTAATCTTTGTAGCAGCGCAAATGAAATACACACGAACTAACGAGTGAAATTGCAAAGGAGCGTAACTCTCGCGGTAGTGCACAAACGTACGAAACAACACACTACATCAATGAGCAGATGACACGAATTTTGATTTACCTCCACTCGATCTTTTCTACGCTTCTTTGGTTTAGGGGCCTGTTGAAAAAAAAAAAAAAAAAAAAAGCAACGCGTTTCAGGACTACGGTCCAAAACACTAGAAGGACATAACATCACGCATTACATTTTGCACGGCTTCACAGAACTGCGGTTTCTAAGGAATCTAACGTACTAGTCAAAAATACATTTTCACCTCACCAAGCTGCAAAACTTACATATTTCTCCTCAAACTTTTTAGCCAAAGCTTTGAGTTTTTCGTCTTCTTTTCCCTCATCGTCCCACGGAGTTTTCTCCGGGGTATTATTGATCTGCGCAAGAACGAAAAAAAATCCCGCGAATTAAAAATCAGTATCATGTACTCCGGCGACAAAAACAGCAATGCATCGACGTGACTCGCTGATAAAATGGCTTCAGCTGTTAAGAGGAGACTTAGTACACTAAAGTATTACCCACCGTAGCGGCCTTTACAAGGTCCAGAAACGAAAACTCCGGGCACTTTTTCTCGTCGCTTTCCGTAAGGGAAAGCTCGAAGCGTAGAGTCTTGATGTTTTCTGGATTTTTCCCGAGTGCATCCACTCTTTCCGAAGGAAACGGGTTAGCTTTTTCCATATTCCATCAAGAGAAAACCGAAAACACGGTCCACCTCACCGGACCCTTTGTTAAACCCCATAGAGGCAAACCTTATCCATCTTGAACTTGCCCGCTTCTCGCACCAAAATTCAACACTTTACACTACTGCGCATGCTCAGTGGCCAACTGCGCAGTCGCAGTGCGATTTTTGGTGGCACTGGCTTCGAAGTTTCTCTCTCGGTGGAAATTTCAGAGAATCTACAACAAATCGAGCAATCTTCCAAAATTCGATTTTTGCCCCGGAATGGGCTGAAAACGCAGAGAACGTGCCTAAAATGACCCAAATGTGAAGAAAACGCGAAAAAAATTGTTTGGATAAATTTTAAAATTACGGTTTTCTGTTCCCCTTAACTGTCTAAAATCCCAAAATGTGATCCTTTTTATGTCCAAAATGGCGAGATATTCGAAAACGTGTACGAATCAGGCCGCTACGCCCCACCCGACGCTCAAGAACGCACATGTTTCCACAGAATCGCCAGCTTAACTACATTATGCAAAGCCCCCATTGTTTGCCCCTGATCAATTTTTCAGCGCTACATGTACCTGATACGCGCTTATGCTTGCGTGAAAAAAGCGCTTTTGTTGGCTGATCGCGGTTGAAAATGACAGATGCTATACCAACCCATCACTGTAATTGGACGCATTGCTGACTATATTTACAGCTCAACAGAACAATATTGCGTGAAATTCACAACTCACTTCCGGTTTCATTATATTTCCGCTGACAAATCGCAGGCTAATCTGCGCGTGACAGCACTAAACATGGCGAAAAGTTAGTTCGGTAATGGCGGCGAACTTCTAAACTTTTTGTGATCAAGGAACCGCGAGTCTTCTTGGTTTGGGACTTTTCTGACAACCTCAAAATGCCATTTTCTTTGCACAGTCACAGTGGGCAGTTCTGTAAGCATGCTTTCTGTACTTTAGAAGAGGTCGTACAAAGAGCAATCGAAGTTGGTTTCACTCACTACGGGCTTTCAGAGCATATGCCAAGATACGAAGCCGAAGATCTGTACGATGAAGAAATTGAGGTGAGTAGTGCTTCGGTCTAGAATTTAAATAGCTTTGAAATGCAAGAAACGTAAAACGAAAAAGGTATGCTCTTTCGTTTTATCGAATTCAAGCTTATGTAACTTAAGATTTAGAAAGTTTATAATTCCAGAATGAAACAAATAAAAATAGTTTTTCTGTCAGAGTTTACGACAACAATGCATTCTATGACACCAGCTATATCAAAGGCCACATATTAATGCTCTACTGCAACCTTTTCCAAACGAACATTCTCAGGATTCGAAAAAATGTTCCCAAATAGGGGTTTCACGTAGAAGTAACACATTAAAAAAGTTATTGGTAATTGTGAAGAACAATTGGAAAAACCTGTCAACTAACATTTGGCATATGGTCAGCACGCAGTCGGCCAACAGACGGTCAACAGTTGACCAACATACAGGCCACAGTTGGCCGACAGTGGACGATAGACAGCTGATAGTGGCCGACAGAGCAGGCAGTTGTCCAACAGTCAGCCAACTGTCAGCCCACAGTTTTAAGCTGACCTGTTAGTGCTGTAATCAGTCTGCCATATTGGAAAGGTTATTTAGACCCCAGTTTCATGCTCACTGAAGCAACTTGTGTATGAATAAATTATTGTATTATTGTGCATTATTATTATTAATTAGGATGGCGAAGACAGGGTTGATCAATTTAATTGCAAGTATAATTACAGACCAAATTGGATGACATGAAGTCCTGTTACCAATTAATCAAAACTATGACTATGACAAAATTTGAGAAAGAAACTAGACATCTATAATATGTTTCCAGTGTGTCAACTATCCAATTAAAGTGTCCAATAACCAATCGCATTCAAGAATTTTGTTGTAATTTTGATTAGGGTTGAACTCAGACTCTCTTAGTCAATTAATTTTCCTTTTTTCCTTTTGTTTAATAAGGGACCTGTACACTTTCAAGAAATAGATTGAATTGGGAAATGGAATATTTTGTGGAAATGGTAAAACTGAAAATTATATATCAGTAAAATAATGGCTCTTGTCATTTTTATAGGAAAATTTGACACCTGCTGATCTTCAGAATATGTTTAATGACTTTGTTAAGGAAGCCAGGCATCTTCAAGCAAAGTACAAAGACAAGATTTGTCTCCTTATTGGCTTAGAAACTGAGGTTATCAGAGAAGACAGTTTTGATCAGATAAGAGCACTGAAAAAACAACATGAATTGGACTATATTGTCGGATCAGTTCATCATGTGGATGGAATTCCCATAGATTTCAGCAATGAACTGTTTGATAAAGCAGTGGAACAGGCAGGTGGAACAGAAGAAGTAATGTGTCAATACTTTGATCATCAGTATCAGCTAATAAAGGAGTTAAAACCTGAAGTTATTGGCCACTTTGATGTCATCAGGAAATATCGACCTGACATTGAATTTACAGATGTCCTATGGGAAAAGATTGTTAGGAATGTAAGAGCAGGGATGTCTTATGGAGCTTTGTTTGAGATAAATTGCAGCGGTGCATCACCAACAAAGAAACTTAAATGTCCATACCCACATCCAAGGATTATTGAGGTGAGACAAATGAAGTGAAACAGAAATTTCATCCTGCATCCTTAACCCTGTAACTCACATTCGTAACCATGACATAATTTCTCCTTACAATATCAATACCATATCAAGCAGATGAGTGATGAGAATAAAGAAAACAGCCTTTTACTTTTTTGATCAAATAAAAAGCTGCGCCTCATTTGCCACTTGTTTTCCTCTCCACATTATCAGGTCAAGGCTGCTATCTTGATCTAGCACCAAGTTCTCATAACTAATTTGCAAGAGGGGAGAATTAACAATCATATGTTGGGAGTTAAAGGTTTAAATGCAATATGCCCCACTGGCAATGGATATAAAATGTATTTTAAAAAAAATGGAAACTTGGTGTGCAAAAAAACCTGATAATCCAATTTTGAGTGAAAAAGAAATAATTTAGAGTGTCTACTTATCACCTTCTTTGTCTGGCTATTGTTACAAGTGCATTCCCTGACTGCTTTTGCCAGCAGTTTTTCCTTGTATAGCACACATTTTCGAATGGAATATGGTGTTGTGTCATGCATGTGAAAGCCATTTGCTCTGAAGAAGGCTAGTGAATGTGGGGCAGAAGTATGGGTGTAGGATCAAAACATTATTTTGCTCTTTATTTATACTTACTCTCCATGAAATTGGAAAGAGAAATCATAGAATTATGGAAATGAGTTAATATGTGGTTCAATTAGGAATTATTCCTGTTCACCGCACTTAATTTACAATGGTAACACCACTTGCAGTACCAATTCCACTTGCAATACAAAAATTATCTATAACAATAAGCTGATAACTACTGTAATATACTAACTTTTGATAAAAGACTAATCTTGACTCACAAGACTTTATAACCTTCTTACAATGCTTTCAAATTACTCTTACTTAAATGTACTGTTAAATAATAATATACATTTTTAATATTTTTACATAATCTTCAATAAACAATGCCTGTGAAAAACCTCTAACAACATAAGGACGCAAAACTTTACATACACTACTTGCCTTTCAATTCTTGCAGCTGCCCTCTGATGGATGATTAAACACACGTTAATGTTGCAAACTAGCTTTTTTCTATTTGTTCTCTGCTTGTATTGCGACTTATGTTAACTGTTAAGAACAGCTCCCCTCTACTGAATGTGGGCTAATTGTCAGCTGACAGATAACTGACAGGCCGCCAACATAACAAACAGCTTACCAACAGCTTACTTGTTGCCATTTCTCCTATTTTTTTGACCAGCCACTGCCTCCAAAAGACCCCTTAAAGCAATCTTCCTCTTTTTCCCGTAGCTTTTAGTGGCATCTGGGGCTAAATTGACTCTGTCAGATGATTCACATGGAACAGGAGATGTTGGTTTCTGGTACAAAAACTTGCCCCAGCACTTAGCAACTTACAGGGTCAGTGAACTTTACTATCTGGACAGAGCACAGGTGACCAATGACTCAGCAGGACAAGAAAAAAGAGTTGTGTCTAAAAAGTTAACAGACTGTTGGGAGCATCCATTTTGGGAAAAATGTGCAGAAACTGTAAAATATGACAAATGACAATTTGTATTTTGTTATATAATTTAATGTAATCTTTATCTTATTTTTTTCTTGGGGAGAGGGGGGGAGGAAAGGTTTAAGAGTTAAACTCAGTGAAGACATAGTGCGCTTATTCTACTTAAAAAAATGATTCCATGTTGTGGTGCAACAGTTTAGTAACAGGTCACAGATGAGGTCAAAGCCTTGTGTAATGAGGGCTGTTTGTGCATTTGTGTATTTATGTGAGTCACCCTCAAAATTTTAATGACAACGTGCCTCATGGAGCTTTATTTATTGTTATCGTTTACTAAATATCCCCAAGCTCAAAGCAATATTTAAGCCCAAAAAGGGAGCATGTTTCATTTATGTGGAATTTAAGATATAAGTCAGCAGTTGTTTCTTTGCATTTTAATTCTATTTTCATTTTGGTTTAGTCATACATCATTAAAAATGTTCAACAAAAATCTATTGTTATGAATTTTTTGCTCTTAAACAAAACTAGTTTTAAAGTTACTTCTATGTTTTTTTAACAGAACCTAAACAAAAAAGTGGGGGCCGTTTTGATTACTTTAGTTATAGTAATACGAAAAACACTTCATTGCTTAAGAAGACCTTGCCTCATCACTCTTCTAAGTTAGCTGTCAAGGCTTCCAATGATGTTTACCTAAACGTTTGAGAAAAAATTTATTCCTGTACTGCAAAAGTCTTCTATGTTTCTTTTTACAATAAATTGGGTCGTATTCCACCCTCAGTATCTGCGTGCTCCTCATCACCACCGGGCGTATTCTCGTATACTGGCTCCTCAGGCCTTTTTGGCCCGACGGTTTCATATAAGTTTTCTGTTTGCGGTCCATTCATATTCACGTACGTGTTGCTGCCATTAAGAACATCCTTAGGTCTTTTATAGAAGTCCTCCATCGCTACTTCTTTGGGTGTTTTATAATGACCCTCGTCCGGAGAAGCCTGAGCCTGAGACTTCTCACACGTGGCTTGGCGCGCGGCGTTGATTTGATCTTGAGTGACATAACGATCTTCATCATCACTTTTCCCGTCATTGGCCGTGCATCCAATTTTTGTCAGAGATCCAATACTGTCGTACAATCCCGCAGATGCCCCGTCGTCGAGTTTACTCTGCTCCGAATTCAAATCAACCCGCAAAGGATCGCATTTTTCTGAATAACCGGAAGCCACCAAAGGGACATTTTCCGTGTCTGTGCTCGGTACTGTTCCATTTGGTTGCTCTACAAGAATTTCAGGTTGATCTGGTTCATCTGCAGTGGGTAACAGCCCCTCGGTCATGGAGTCTCCACCGAGGGTGGATGCCGCGGAAGGAGACTCATATCGGACGCTGTACGCCCCTCTTGTTACCATATCTCTTGACCGCCTTGGCTTGGCGCCATTTTGAAGCAGCTGTCTTCTTTTGCGTGAACGTTTCCGCGCTAGGGAGAAGACAATTACGAATATGATGACCAGGAGAATGGCGCCGCCCACAGGAGCACCAATTATGAGAATTTTGTTTAGCATGTTGTCCTTAGATGTTTTTCTTGCTGAAAATTAAGCAGCAGATAATATATTAATGATTTTTTACTGAAATGAAATTTGTTATAATATGGAACAGTGAACTCTGATGTAGACTTGTACATGTAAATAGAATGACCACAATGACCGTAAATATATGAAAATCATGTATGTGAACTTATTTTTAAAGAAAGAAAAAATATATGTGAACTGTGGATTAAGAAATAATGAACACCAATGAAACAATAGTCAAAATAATATATTTACAGTCATTGATTCACCTCTTCATGGATTTATTACGAACTAACATAATGACCAGCTCCCAGTTGGTTCGTCAACTCAGTTGGTAGAGTGCTGCACCGGAATCACAGAGATCCTGGGTTCAAATCCCGTACAGGTCCGATTTTTTCGGGCCTTATTTTCACTATCACTTGAGTAGTGTTCATTACTACGAAGATCGCTTTCATATTTAGAATGACCTCAATCGGTGTTCGAACCTATATATAGAGCGCTTTTCGATTGAATGTCCTCAAACCAAAACAAAACCAATCAGAAGAAAGGAATTTACCCTATTGAGCCAAAGAGAAAAAGCAAACTGCCTAAAGCGCGGGAAAACGCGGGTGACTAAGTCGCGATTGAATTTCTTTTGCATTTGATAGGTTGAGAATGTGGTGCGAGGTTTTTGGACCAATCACAGCTGCAGAGTGAAGTAATGCAAAACATAAACAATCTAGGATTTCTTTCGACACCAAATCTAAAATTTCTCTAAATCGACAACTTACAAATTGGCTGCGGTCTGCAGCATTATCTTATAAACGACAGCTGTAACAAACCTAGCCTCTTCACACAAACGTACCTTGATCAAGTTTAGCAACCACTGGTGTGAACGGCTCAGACGGATGGCTTGTTGCAGCCTTCTCTGAGGAAAGTGTTGATTGAACAGTTGCTACAGTCCTTGATAAAGTCGGTTCTGTTTTCTTTGGCTCGGTGGGGAATACAACTGCGATAGAGATGTACATGTTAGTCGATACCAAATTAGTTAGTTTTGAAACTAAGTAGAAGTATTTTCCTTCGCTTCTCGCGAATTCAAAGCATGTTTGTGATGATTTTAAGAATTTAGGAAAAGACGCAGAATTGAAATGAATTTTATCTTTTAGTCCATAATAATTTTCACTCTTTAGCTAGTCTTCTGGATAGTTTGTTGACTAAGTGACGTCATTAAAGTAGTAATTTCACCTCTTTTATCTAAATAGTCCAATAAGGATCTTACTCGTTCCCATTCTCCTTCTAACGCTTTCTTACCGCCCGCGTTATGAAAGCAACTGAAACAAGTCAAGCTCCCGAAGGAAAGGTAAAATTCTCAAAAAGCATTCTCCTGCAAGGAGGAGTCGCTTTTCTGTTGAAAAATTTGTCACAAATTCTCACTGTTTTTGTAGACTTGAACTTTCGTCGTTTCTTACAATTCTCAAATAATTTTGCAGCACGTGATCTTATATTGTGGTAAACGTAACTCACCAATTGTCGTTAGGCTCTCTGTTGAAACATTTGTCACTGTTTCCACTTGCACAGTCACTGTTTTTGTAGACTTGATCGGCGTACTTTGCGTCGTTTCTGGGGCAACTGTAGGTTACAGCAGATTACAATTTTATATTTTGTAGCTCTCTCATGAAAAGACGCTGTTGATCTTATATTGTGTTTGTAAACGAACTAACGTGAGAATTTTTGCAATCGTGTAGAAGTGCAGTAGCAAGCTGTAGTGTTAAATTTTCGAGATTTTCTTAATCAGAAAGGGATAGACACACCTTTTAAAACACCAAGCAGACTCCATGCGAGCGAAAATTTTTGCTCATAGAATAACTTCTTCATACTTTTTTCTTATTTGCGTGATTGTTTTCACTCTTCTATTTCTGTGTCTATATGTTTCACTTGAGCTAATCTCTTCCGTATTTAGCAAAAATTACAGGAAGTCATCGAAATGCTGTTTCGCTTTTCTTCGTTAAGTTTCCTCTAGAAATAAAGCGACGAGTGATGAACACAGCCGTCAAACGTGGGGCATGCGCAAGAGGATCAGTTTCGGTCAGCCGCGCGCCAATTTCCCGCGCAAACTTACAAAGGAAAAAATAAGAAACAACCGCTGTCACGCCAAATATGCGAAAAAAAAGCATAATATATACGTACGTTCGTGCAAATCTGTAAAAGGCAACAATCGTAGGGAAAGGAGAACTCGAGAATTTTCGTGCATAAAAGCTGGTTTCCTGCTGGTTACTATTTTGTTTACCAACTACAAAAGTTATGCGGTTTTCACGCGATTTACTTGTTCGTGTGGTTGTTTATTTGACACGTCACCAAGCCCAGTTTGACCACTGTGTTTGAGTGATGAAACAATACTTACTCGTTGTTGACTTTTGTGAAGTAGTTTCTCTTGTAGTTGTGAGAAATGAGCCTCCGATAACAACCCTCTTAATCGGTTTAGACTTCCTTCCCTCACCAATCTTCGTATATCCCGCTACTTTGACAGAGTATTGCTTTCCACTCACAAGACCTTGCAATTGGTGAGAAAAAACTAGTTTTACATAGTTTTTAGTCCATTTATTCGATTCACAATCAGTCTGTTCACAGTAAAACACAACGAAGCCCAAAATGACGCCATTTTGACCATCTTTAGGGATTGGACTCCATGAGACTGTTAGCGATGAAGGTGTGTTAGAAACGGCTCGGACATTTCCTGGTGGTTTGCTCGGTCCTAAAACAGAAAAGGTCCCATAATGATTGCATTAGAATGCGAGCTTTAAAAATGGCTCTGATTTAAGAGAGTCCTCTATTTTCAGAATACCCTCAGGGAAGTCTCGACAGGCCTCCCATCCCAAAATATGTGCATGCGCACTGCGAACAGTGTGGGGATAGGGCGGAAATAGTTTGTTTACCCCTTGATCTTCCAAAAGTTATTAACATGCAACTTCTCCATATTACGTCCATACTCTATTCAGCAAGCAGTTAATGAGAATACTGAAACTTATTAGATAGAAGTTGTTATCTTAATCTCACACCGAATTCTCCCAACTAATTAACAAGGAAATCTCTAACATGTAAAGGGGAGAATCTTGATTTGTGGGAAGTTTACACATGCGTGCATCCCCTTACTTGATTCATTTGTTTGAAGTATTTTGGGGTCGGACCATTCGCTAACCATCTCTGGCTTAGAGGTCTTAAAAGCTTTGACTTTTATCTGATATGTTGAGGCCGCTGCAAGACTGCGAAGAGAATATCTTTCTGAAGAACTCTGCGTTTGCCTATTGGGACCGCTTTTGAGAACTTTGTAGCTGATATAATATTTAATTGTGGACGAATCCGTTATCCCACTGGTAGCTGTGGTCGGCTTGTCCCAAGTTAATGTCGCTTGGAACTTGGACCCTATTTCCCTGATACTGGCAATCTTAAAATTGGTGGGTTTCGCTGGAACTGTAGAGATCAAAAGAAAGCGTTTCATAGGTGTAAGCTTAACATCATTTTAGAAAGTATTCTTTGGAGAAGAATTGCATAAGTGTTTCACATGATCCTGTCAATCCTAAAAACTGTCCGGGGCTACTTGTATTTATTGGGCATCTCAGGTTGTTCATTTTCTTTGTTGTTGTTGTTTGTTTGTCTGTTTGTTTGTTGGAAACAAAGATGGAGGGGGATGACAGGGTTTTCTAACATGGTGGGGGGGGTGGGTCCTTGTCTTACGTGTCCTTAGGAGCAATTTGGTTATTATTTTAATAGGTCCAACGCACCTCATAGCTCCTTCGCTCCAGCTTTGCCCTAGAAAACTTACCCAAGTTGTTTGTGTTGACCACCAATTTGCGGGACCAAGCGCCTTTGATTTGATGATCCTGCCTGTGCATGGCCTGCACAAATATATTATACCTCTTCTTAAAAACTAAATCGAGCTGAGCACTCTCCGTTGGTACGATCAGCCGTTTACTGGAAATATCTCTAACGGCCTTGTATGATACAGTATAGGACAGTGTAGAGTTGTCTATTAATCCCGCAGCAGTCTTTGGTCTAGTCCATTGTAGCGTGATCGTGAGGTCATGAACGCTTGAAACGGTAAGGTTGGCTGGTTGACCTGGGGCTGATAAATAAAACTTTTCTTAGATAGGAATAAATTTTATCCCGTGTGAAGGTTAACGCTTATGACAATCTTCTACACAGGGCAGTATGATTTATCAAAAAAAATGCCTCTCGGGCACTTCTTAGAGAAATTTAATAACGGCAATTTAATAAAGGATCTACTGCAATGAATGACCAAAATAATCAAGTTAGTTTGTTCAAGCCAAAACCGTAGTCACATTGTGTCGGTGTACCGACGAAAAAACCCCGTAAGATGTTAGAAGAAAGTTAAGTCTATTGCTGGCATAAAATAATTGTGAAACGCCCCAGCTTTTAATGCCTTTACCGGTGAAATGTACGACAATTTTTTACCAACGAGAGCGTGTGTCGTATTTATTTCCAGAAGTATTGGACTTGATTAAAAAATTTTTTTTCTTGTTTACCCTGCCAAAGGGGACAATTTACTTTCCAAGTATTTCGCTATGCGTCGCCTAATTTCCTCAGAGATGTAAGATTATGCTCTGAAGACTTCAGGACTTATGTACTCGACTTAGCATCTTAAGAAACACTTAATACCCTCTTCACAAGTTGCTGCTCAGATCTACAAGAATTTGGTCCCTTCTCTTTGTGTATTGGCCACGGCTTGTTCTAAGAAATCATGTCAGGCAATTCTGATCAATAGCGACTGAGTTAAAAAAATCGAAAATAACCCGGGATTGCACAGGTTTCCAGCAAATTCTTTGCACGAAAAGTTTAGAAATCTGGCCTGAGACGGCCGCGAAATCGTGACTTAGTCACTAGCGCGTTTTCCTGCACTTTAGGCATTTTGCTTGCGCGTTACTTTGAGTTCCCATTATAGCTCAGTTCCTTGCGATATTTAGCTCTGATGTAAATGGCTGTTGTAATAACCTTATTTTTCTTCTTTTGAAATCGATCGCTGATTGTTCTCTAAAGCTGTGGGCACATCGCGCCAACAAAGCCGTAATGGTAATCCTTTAGTAATGCTTATTGGTAATCCTCATAAGAAAAGGCGATTTCATCCGTTGCAGGCTGAGCTTTTTTCCCGTCGACGGCCTAGGATTTTCTTTTTTTTCGCGATAAAATCTCTGAAGAAAGTGCTTTGTAAAGATTTAAGAGAAAGGCTTGAAAATTAACTGATGAATTGAAAGCGAAAGGAGCGATTTGAAAGAAATATCCAGCTTTCTTAGGTCATACATGGACAGATGAACTTGATAATTTGCCATAACATAGATATGCATTCCTTCTCTAAGTTCGGATGTGGTATTCTGAAACGGATTAAGATCATGACAGGCGGAGAAACATGTATTTGTTATTCCTCTCTCGTTTACAAATTGTTTTAATTTGAGAATATCACGTCAGCTTTTTTCGAGAAGTCTGAAAGGAGTAAGATCAAAAAATCTCGGCTGTATGAGAAATAAAATTTTGAAACAAATAGTTTGTTGGATTTTAAGAGCGAACGTTGGAGCGTGTTTCAGCGATTTCAGCTTCACAATTTTGAAAACAAGTTTTAGCGAGTATCTACATGTTCTTAAACAAATAACCACAGCCTTTTAACCGAAAAAGAATTTTTAGCTGGCTTATTACAACCTTAGTAAGATCGCCTCTTTTAAATTCGTTCATTTATTTCGCCAGTTGACAGCTGAAAGGTGAAGCACAAGCTTAGTATACGCGTTCCCTTTATTTTTTGTGATAACACTTTTTAGCAAGTATATAGTGCTATGAAACCTTTAATAAGTCGTTTAGCCAATTATAAAAAAGATTAAAAGCGTATCAATTGTAGTAAATGAACTACAAAAGTAAATAACGCCAATTAATATATAATTTTCGCTTCATTCATCGCACAAATAACTCATTTCCTAAATGAATTGTTACGTTGGCAAGGAATTAGTTAACTTTTTAAACTCCCTAATTTTTCTTTAGCGGTAATTTGGCTCTGTTTTTATAGACAGGCTCTATGAAGTCAATGAGAGGACAAGGCACATAAATCAATATAGTAAGGTCGAATAACTTGGAATCTCAGCGATAACATTATGTGATGAATCCGGTTTCAAAAAATACCAATGGAAACTACACGCTGGCTTCATGTTCACTGTATCGACCGGTTGACGAGTACAGACCAGTTCAAAACGGAAAATTCCTGAACACTGAGAAAGCCGCATCATGGCACTAATGATAAAGTGGGAGGTAAATTAGAGAATTTTCAGAGAAGGGGAGGGTTTTGTTATCCAGGCAAATCTAATATTTTTGTAAACAGTTACATAGTTCGCCGCTGTTTTCTCTATATTTTCTGTTTTTTTCTGTGGTAACTATTTGTCTGAAGACTCTCTATGCAATGTTCCTGTCACTGATGATTATCAAAGATATCGGATGAACAAAGCTTATTCAGTGACATATGTTGTGATGTAAGTTAAGTAATCGAGGTTTTTCTATTGTAAGACAACTAAAAAAGTTAGTGTTACCTGAAATTAAAAAGACACTGAGAGGAAACATGCCAAAAACGAACTATAACAAGCCTTAGTCGAACTGAAGCAATATCAAAAACAACAGAGAGGGAAAGGTCTTGCTGAAACCCAAAAAACCACTCCAGCGATCTTCGAGGTAAATCCGATTGGGAATGTTAAATCTTCTATTTAGTTTCGATCTTCTTTAACCATCACGAAACACAGTATTATTTGAAAAAAGGCAAAAGATGAATAATCACTTTCGCTCTAGATAGTAACAAAATAATTCTATGAAAACTTACTGCTCGAAGCTGAGCTTATTCCAGCCAGGTTTATTAGAACCCAGGTCAAATGTATCATCAAGAAATTTCTTCCAAAATCCATCATCTTCATTAGTGACATAATTTGTCTCTCGTTTCCCTGGCTGTGATTTACGACGGTGAACGAAACTTCGTGATGTTTAGCGCTGAAACCAAGAAGGCCACAGAATCAATGACAAAACGTCCGGTTTTCTTGTTCCCGTACTTATAATGTGGATCAAAGCGGAACAGCTTGAGTTGAAATACGTAGCCCTACGTGCTGACGGTAACCTAAGGAGACAATTAAATTTGAACTCATTGGTATGTTTTGGTAGGAGTGCCAAAAATATTATCAAAGCGTTGAGTTGTACGTCTTTCATCACTGACAATAGCTCGACTTCTCTTTAAGTCTTTTAGAATGAATCGTGTAAATTTTGGCCAAAAAAATACGATAGCATAAATCTCCTTCTAACTGAGAAGTCTGATTTTATAGCTTCGTGGACATGTATGGGTGGTTTCATAATGGAACCCTATTTCTCTACGCCCCTACCCCCCCCCCACCCTTCACTCCCTGCCTAAGAATGTTTTATACACATCTGTCTTTCTTTTGGGTCGTCGAAGCAAGAATATTCATGATTTATGGGTGCAGAGTAAGGTTGCCCTTGCCAAAAAATGTCGACAGGCAAGAACACGCAGTAAAAGACACCAATTTGTCGTTTTCACGACAATATTTTGGATCAATATCAGTATCTGGGCAACTGCCCACCTACCCCTCCCCTAACCCAACAACAGTCAATTGATAACATGTTAGGGTGAATGTTGGGTTAGGGGAGGGATAGGTGGGCAGTTCCCCAGATACTGATATTGATCCCATATTTTATCGATTTTGACGCCCTTTGTCCGATCTAGTTCCTGCTTCCTGTAATGCTACAAGTTATATGGGAGGGGAGCTTCCGTTTCATGGCCAAAAACAAGTCTTGCCGAGCCGTGGGCAATAATAAAAACAAAATCATGATCTCGTTCGCTTTCCTTACAAACCTGACTCAACCCAACAATAAAACTGCATGGAAATCTTTTGTAAACAGCTCGTGCGAAAAATTTAATTTGAGTGCAAAGAATGGCTGAAAGAAGAAAAGAATAAATCTTCTTTTTTTCCCGTTTGCCATCGGCCCACGCTTAAAAGCTGTTCTTAACCTCTTTTAATTATACTCTTTTAACGTGCGCACCTACTACACATCAAGATGAAACAATATTAAAGATCTCAAGAACAACTACTTTTTGATCTTATTCTAAAAGTCCTTTCTGAAGTTGTAGACTTTGTTCCTTGAGGTTTTTTACAATAAAAATAACTTAAGCGATTTTATATCGTGCACAGAATAGAAAACAGAATAGAAAAATAACATTGATAATTAAAATACAGGATCAGGATTTGTTGTTGTTAGTAGCACATGTCTACCCAAACTACCCTGGAGTATTCCCCCCTCGCTCTTTTCTATGCACGAAACTTTTCTGGATTGGAGAGAAAAAGCAATCAAGAATCAAAATTTTTAACGAATTCTTTTTTTATAATATACGCACTTGATTAGAAATAGTAGTGAACCATGATGCTAATAAAATTTTGCCGGGAATTAGATTTTCGTGTTGAAACTATTTGGCGCTGCTTAGTGAACCAAATCGATTCAAGTCCTCTTATCTCCATAAACAAGATATTTCAATTGGCAAAAGGTTTGTCATCAACACGAATTAGAGCGCTAATGTCGAATTATCTTCTCAGTTAACATTATTTAACTGAAAACAGCTGGATGATTGCAAACCATCATGATTTGTCATTTATCACTGAGCGAAAGTATTCAGAAAGATAGTATTATGCGTATATGCTAATCAAACTCTTTTCTGTCTTTTGCGAGCGCAATGGATGTCTGGCTGACAGACCAGCCAATCTCGCCGTAATGAGTTCATCAGTTATATTTAAACAAAGTTAAGGAAATATCACTTACAAGAACACTGGGTCCTCGATGACGTACCAAACTTCAATTCTTGAATGGTAGAAAGAAATCACTACGACCGCAAAAAATCCGTTCGATCGGTTGTGAACAAGCACGCTTCAGTGATTGTCTAAAGGCTCTGGAATGCTTTATGATGTGAAATGACCTTTATCATGCTGAGTCGAACAATATACGCTGCGGGAATTTTTTGGCGCAAAGTTTCATCACCTCTACGCGATGTAGGTCAATATTAGCCACTAAGAATCTGTCAAAACAAATGGGTGGAATGGATGCCACTTCCGGTGGAAAGCGCACTAAAAAATTTTTTTAAAAAAATATTACTTCTCTTGTAATTGATCAAAAGAGAAGTTTTTTCAGCGCTTTTTAAGGACGAATAATAACGAAGTCTAGTGTGTGTGGAAATTGTTGCGGAAGTCTTTTAACCCCGCTCGCTTGTTCAAACAAATCAAGAGGACTGTATCTTTCGATGTAACACTTTTTTCATCCAAACCAACAATCTATTGCGATATACAATTCTCACATATTAAACGGTCGTAACACAAGGATCAACGATCAACGATCGACTAACATAATCTAAGTATACAGAGGTTTTTTCTACTATCCTTTCGTAAGGCAGTATTTTTACATTAATCACATGTACAGCAAAAGTTCCCATTGTAATGTATCTAAATTAAGTGACTATTACAAAATCGCATGCTCTTTCACCTTATTAAGCCTAAGAAAATGCACGCAGTTACATCATTTTACATCGTAAATATACTCGGACTTTGTCTACGTTATTGTGAGATCTAGTGTCACGAAATCTAACTTCTTTGCGTTACAAATGTCAATTTCTAATTAATATTTATTCCCAAAATAATCAACTTAAGCATCACCTATTTCTTTCCCGAAAGAAATTAAAAAAAATCATCAGTGCTGTTTGCAAAAAGATTAACCCTTTAACTCCCACATCAAATTTGTCATCGTCCTCATTGTCAACCACACAATTCTTATAATATTAGTTCGGAGAATTTACTATTGGATCAACTAATTATCCCCAAATTGATATTTTTCTTTATTCTCATCACATATCTGGTTGATATTGTGTTGATATTATAAGGAGAAATTCTGTCTTGGTCACTCATGGGAGTTGAAGAGTTAACTTTTTCGAGCCGAGTAGCTCACTTATTAATACCTCGGTTTCTAGATCCAGCAAAGGCTATAAAAACAACCTCGTTCCCAGGGCCTTTTCCCACCCCCAACTAAGGAAAAAGGCCCTGGGAATGAGGTTGCTACAAAAAGTGACAAAAATAGTCTTACTAGTTGGACGGGATGCTACGTTCGTTCATCTTTTCATCCCCTCCCCCCTCCCCCCGGCCCCTCACCTCAAGGGCCAACTTCACTGATAAGGAGAAGATCGAAGACCGTACCCGATTAGACGTCGAAAATTCGACCCCACCTAAAGGCCTAAGCGTGTTCCAGGCTATGAGTCTGTTCGAATTGCTTCAGCAACTGGATGTAGAAAACCTTTATAACATCAGGAGCCTTATTATCCTGACAGAGCCCTAGAGGTGTGAGGAACAGAAACAGCCATAATCGCTGAAACCCTACTAGAAATGTACCTATACCCAGTCTCTTCGCTTTCCCAACCGCCATGTTTCTGGAGTATTCGAGTCCAATTGTCAATATACGTATCGATGTTTTCGAGTCGAAACAAATAGCTTTTTAATGGCTTGTACGCCAGGTAATTCTTTAAAATTAAGATAGCAGGATGGGATCTGTTGTTTCTAACATGTATGGAGGGCTACAGTACATGATGAGTTGTGGGGGAGACAATCAAACGTTCCCTGATAATGGCCGATCGTCTCTCGCCGCGACGCCATTTGTTTGGAAACGTACCAGGTATGTATTTCACTGTCAATCGGTTTTATTTTGGTTTTTTCTCCTCAAACTAGTGTTTTGTATACCTTATGTGATTTTTGATCAAGTAAATTAAAAATTGTTTTGAGATTTTTCGGAAGAAATTCCGTTTCATCTGACGCAAGAAAAGCCGAACTGGTAATGTTGCAGCTGAGGCCGATTAAGTCTTCGTACTTTAAAAAAAAAAAATGGTACAGGTTTAATTTTCATCACTGGAAAATAGTTTGCGTTTTCTTCCTTTGTATAGAAAAGAAAAAACTAATTTAAGAGGTAATCATGTTTAATTAGTAGATGAATTAAGGGACGAGAACACCAAAACACGACGTAAGCTTTTGGTTCTTCTTGTGCGTCATACGGTTCCTATCGACATTTTATTTGCATTAAACAAGAGATCGACACACACTTGTCGTGTCCTCTCTTCATCCTTAGTCGGTTTTATTTTCGAAAATCATTCCTGTACCTACGTAAAGCGGCGAAACAGCTGAAAGCAGGCAATTATAGTACAATTTTGGTTAGCCGCAAATCTCGCGAAATATTTTATTTGTGATAAGTTGAATAATCATGATCCATGGCTAATCCAGAGAATCGCGTATTTTTTCTTTCACACAGCTCCATGTACTTTGATGAAGATGGTGATCTAGCCCATGAATTTTATGAAGAAGTTAAACCAAACAAGAAAGGGAAGAAGTATTCCATGAAGAAAGTAACTCGGCGACTATTACCTCAAGGACTAGTTGATTTACCGTATCCAAGATTAAATGTGGATTTTCCAGTTGTTATGTGCGAGGCATATTAGAGAAATGACCTCAAAATTTCTAGATCTAACCTCATATGAGATGAATGTGGAATCTATCAAGAACATTGCTAAACAGCTGGGTCATTCACGGACAAGACTTGCATGAAATTCAGAATGTTACCAGAAACATTTTGTTCTTGACCACAGAGTTATTGCATTGTCATGCCAGACATTTCTAGCTACTTTCTTTCCTTGAGCTGGCAGTTACTCAGGCGACCAATTTAACTGAACTGATAGCAACAACTTATGTTTTGTATTGAGGAAGAATGCAGATGTGTAAAATAAGACTGTGACTAAATGCCTGGCAGCTAGGTAAAGGCTTAAATTGACTAAATGCTGACAGCCAGAAATTTTCACAGAGTTTCCACTGAAAGATTCTTTCACTCTTATAAAGAATGATAGATGTTTTTTAAGAAATGTGAAGCAATTCCACTTCACTCAGAAAACATTTCTGATCAGACTGACAGGTATGGTCTCAAATAGACTAAATGCCTGGCAGTCAGAAGTTTTTTGCCAAATTCTTGTGGAAAACCTCATTTAAATCTGTCAACCCTTCACACGCGAACATCAATATGCATAATCTCCACACTGTGTTCTCTATATTTCGTAAGGTGCTGACAAGGAAAATTTGCTTAACAAGCATTCTGACTGCTGGCATTCAGTCCTTTTAAGATCATGCCCAGCTGTGGGGCATTTAGCCTTTATGTTTAAATACTGTTTGTAGTGAAAGGTTGGGGACCTCCTCTCCAATTGAAATAATTCTCTTCAGGGTATTGTTGTTTTTAGTAGAAATAACAAGAAGATTGTACAGTATTATAAAAAAATTTGGATGATGTTTTAGTCATTTATTTTTTCTGTTATTAACTAAGGTAAGGTAGATAAATTATGTTCAAATAAGAATTTAATTGAATAAGGAATGATGGATGTTGTGTTATGTTCTACCTGTTGATGGCATGCGTAAACATTCAGCTTCTTTTAGCTTCCAGTTTCGGAGCTGAAAGTGATTTGGAAACTTCATGTAAAGACCAAACAAGACAATAACAATTTCACTGACAGATCAAAACTGACTAATCACAACTGCTGATTGCCACTTTTTTTTTAGCCCACCATATGATAACAAAATTGACCAACCAGTTTCTTTAAGCCAGACTCTTACTTGATTGACAGACAATTTGTTACTTGATTCTGAAGATGAATTCTTCTCAGGTTGTCAAAATGTCAATCACCTTCACAGACAGCCAAGGGTTTCAATGAGAGTTGGCATTACGAGAAATTTGCTGTCTGTGTCAGGTTATCCCAGGGAAGGTTTTTGCTTTCCATTTCTAGCATGACCCAATGTTTTAGAACAATGCTGTCAAGTGAAGTTTGTGGATACAAGATAATAATGAAAATAGTCTTGAAAATAGGAAAATTTTATTGCCTGGAGTTGAAGGAGGCAAACTTACATCAAAAACTGTGGAAGGAAAGGAAGATCACAGGGGTGTACCTGGAAAAATAGTTCTAACAAAACAACATCACTCCACCCAACCCTGACAATAACCTTGGTTGATTTCTTTTCATTTCACTCTCACCTTTTCTTTTCTTTCTTTCTTTCTTTTTTTTTTATGCTTGACCCACCAAGTCAATTTCTATTTCCAGAAATGCATGCGGTAATGAAAATGGCAAAATTTGTCAAACCTGCCAAGCTGATTTTGCTTTGACAAATTGGACTAAAATTCACCAAAATCATCAAATCTATGAACATTAACTCTGTTTGACAAATTTTGTCTCCTTCCATTTTCATTACTGGGAGCACTTTTGGACATAGTGAAAGAAGGTAAAGATAAGGTCTGTTCTTGAGCCAAGCGGTGAATGCAGCTGGAACTCTTGGGAAGCTAAAGGTTCACAAGGCTGAGCAGTGGTATTACTTCATATATTGGCAGAATGATTGCCTGAAGTCCATTTGGAAAACCAAGTTTACAAAACTAGTTCTAATTGTGTACGAGTTTCATCAGTTTTCAGTACATTCTTTGTCAACAAAAAAGTTTGAAACAATAAATTTTAAGTGGCTTAATAAGTAAGTGCCAATAAACTTCACAGCACACCGTCACATTTTGCTCTGCAGTTTTTTAATTCATCGTGTTTTCAATACATTCTATGAAATAAGAGAATAACTTTTTGGGAAATTTCTGTCCATCTGAATTTTACATCTTTAACTAGAGATGATTAACAATCCGATTTTGACCTTGAAAATGGGAGGTTGACTTAAACATGAGTTCAACCTTAACATGAGTAAATACCGTACTCTTGCATTGAAACAATAGTCACAGAGATAAAAATTATCAAAAGTTTATTCTTTGGGCCATTTGAGAACCACCAATTATAAATACTGATATTCATCCATTGTATTTATTACATACTGGTATCAGGGTTTTCATTAAGAAATAAGGTTACAAGGCACTGGTAAAGAGTAATAGGTAACTAAACTACATACCTGAATAAAAACTAGTTCACACACTTAATCTTTTAACACCTAGAAGTGATTAAGATGTATCTTCCCCTATAGTATCCATACATTATCCAGCAAACAGGTAATGAGAAAACTCAAACTTATCAGGTAGAAGTTGCCAAAGTCTCGTAAGCGATTTACAAGGAAATGTGTTGCAGCTAGTGGGGAGGATTAATGATCAGATTTTAGGAGTTAAAGAATTGAAGCCAGAAAATTCCATGACATGATGCATAATGAAACACCTGGCACGTATGTTACTATTTTAAAAGTGACAATGTAACGGCAATTACCGTTACAATAAATTATTATCAGTGTTAAAACTAATACAATTTGTCAATGCAGCTGTTTAAAATATCCTTCTCTATTTGTAGGTGTAAGTATTCTAAACTCATATATAATACAAAATCTATAACAGAACCTCTTTCTAGTTATAATCTTGCTGTTTCACCAGACTCATCAGAAGGTGGTTTTTCTTCATCGCAGACTGTTTGGTTTGGTTGTACCAGTGCCAAAGCCTGCTCTAATCTTTCCTTGTAAAGTCTGTACTTTTCTTCCACCTGTTAAAGTTAAATATTTAAGTTTGTTAACCCTTAAACTCCCATGAGTGACCAAGAGATAATTTTTCCCAACAACATAATTGATACAATATCAAGCAGACAGGTGATGGGAATGAAGAAATGCGAACTAAGAAGAGACTTTTACTTGATCCAATACCAAATTCTCCGAACTAACATCAGAAGAATTGTAAGGCAGACAGTAAGGAGAATTAATAATGAGATCTTGGGTGAGTGATCGTGGGTTCCAGGGTTAATGAAAAAGATAATGTTCAATAGCTGCCTGTGGAATAAAAATCTAATCTTTGAGTGTTGATGATATCTCTCACATGTGAATGAAGTAAACAAGAGAGAAATTCTTATCATTATAAGAAATTGAGATATTACAATCATATCCTCCAGCAATTACGACAAGCTGATCTACATGAACCCTTTAACTGAATGACAATTTCAAAACACATCCCAACAGGATCAAATGTATACATCACCTGAATGTAAATTCAGCTTGTCAAAATAATTTGAAAAAAGGTTTTTTTTAAAAAATTTAAGCAAAAAAGTAAAGAAGCCTTTCATGAAAAGTTAAAATGATCTGTTGATAAATCTGGTAACCATGACAACATTGTAAAGTGTAGTTAGGGATGCCCCAGTACTATCTCCTCTGTGTAAATCCAAGCGGAATAAACTTAGTCTGTAAATCACAGCATGAACCTCGAGTTGGGGTCAATAAGAGGTTTTGTGGCTACCATGATCATCTAGCAGTTCTTCTTTCTACATCAATATAAGCCCACAGATACACAAAAGGGGCACTGGCATAAGCCAGCTTACATTTGGGGCTCATAAATTTGTTCCTGTGAGCCCCCATTTAAAAATTCCTCTGTTACTTGTGGAGAAACGAAAGTTACATTCATTCTAATATTTCATAAATACCTAGTGTATATATATATGACAATGATGGCTGATATAACATTAAGCCACTGACCTGCGATATGTGTTCCTCCTCTTCTCTGTCCAGTATCTTCATGAAATTTTGAAGCTCTGGTATGGAGAATACCTCCCACTGAAAAAAAATGTCACACAGCTGTCAAAATGGGAATGGGGGTTGGAGTATTCTGTGCATTACACTGCCATAAATCTTTTTTTTTTGGGCTATCTTTTTTGACTCATATGATAATGAATTCAACCAAAAGGACAGGCTACATAGATTCATTTTGCTTCATAAGTTAGATTCATCTATTTGTTGTCCAACCTATAGGCCATTTTACAGTTGTGAACTCAGTTGCCAAGCCTTTGATTTGGAGTGAGGCTGAAGGTGACCTTGTTGTGATAGAGACCAGTATCTAGTTAGCATGAAAACAAAGTAATTTACATTTGAAAAGCAGCAACGTTTGTATTATAACAAGGTCACCCTTGGCCTTACTCCTTATTCAAAGGCTTTGCAACCAACCCAACAACTGTAAAATGAACTAGATTAATCTACTTCTTGTCAAACCAATTCACTTCATATAACTTTCACAGGGCAAAAATTCTAACTGTAAAAATGTTAAGTGTAAAGTTAACCCTTGGGTTAACCCAATTTTAATTTGAAAATTTGGCTGCACTTACCACAATATCTCCTGTTTCATTCTCCTGGAGTGAGAATTTGTGTCTTATATCTGCTCCACCCCAAAGTAACCTTAGCACCAGGGGTTTCTCAAAGTCAGACATCCGACGAAGAATAACTGAAAGAAAAATCATCAAAAAAGACTTTATATAATGGGTTAAATACATTGCATCAAACTCTACCTAGTTTCACAGAAAGCATGTAAAACACTGATTAAAAAGGATAACATACTTCACATGGTTTTCTTATGCCTTTCACATGACAAATTTCGCAAGTAAGATTGTGACATGTTATACAAATGTGTTATGAAAATGGTGTGAAATTTTTCACAAGATATTTCAAACACTGTATCACATAATTGCTTCTGGTAATGTAGACTATTATTGGAAATGAAAGCATTCACTCAGCCATTTGATGGAAGCCTAAAAATTTGAGCACTAGGTCTGAAAGGCAGAGAGGTAATTATAATCTTTATTTGTATATACCAAACAGGGGAATAGTGCTATTTAGTTTTACTCCATTTTTAAATCTTGACTTTTAACACAACAAACTATTATGCACATCATTCAGTTTTTTTACCAGTCATGTACACTGGTCTTCCTTATGTTGTTTCCATCTTTTGCACACAACTTATGCAAGCAATATGACATTCAGACAAAGTTGTGGGATGTATTAAGAAAACTAGAGGCCAAAATACTGAAAACTAATTAAAAGTGGTATAATAAATCCCTTGATCAATGGTTTAACATTTAATAATGATGGACATTCTGCTCATTGCTTGTAATTTTCTTAGTAACTCCAGGGCTAAGAAAAACATGTAACTTGCAAAATGTACACATGTGTTGTGTGTTAAACTATTGATTAAGTTGTATGAAGTGCTTAGCAGGTAAAGAAAAACCTGTTGAAACCTACTATGGTCATCTTCTTCCTGGTAACACTCAAATAATGCAAATTTTCTTGGATTATCAGCAACTTTGAACTTCTTGAGAAGAGCTACAATGACCTAGGGAAAAAAAAAAAAAGGAATCTTAAAACAAAAATTCCAGCATTATTAACTGATGGTCACTAAAAACAAAGAGATTGGTCTCTTTTAGTTTTCTTTGAAGAGAATTGTGGTCAGTGTTAGATGTATTGGCGAGCAAGTGAAACATAGCAGTTGAATGTCACCTGGAAGTTGGAAAAGGTGTTAAATGAATTAATTGTTTAGAAAAACCCAATTTTGAATGTTAACCTCTTCTTGGAACTTAAAAATGTTGCAGCTCTCTCTGCTCAAGGATCAACATTCAACAGTACATTTTCCAAAATTCCTCTAGTGGTAAATTCACCACATTCAGAATCAATTGCAGACAATCAACACATGATTGATTAAAGAACACCTATAAAAGGCTTAACAATTCAAACAAAAGTTGATAGAAAATAAACAAATATGCATTCAGAGAGACCCACCTGATGAACAGTAGTTTCACTAGTTACATGTAAAGCTTTCTCAGTCTCAAGTGGAAGGAAAAATGATGTCCGCTGGGAAGTCTATGAGATGAGACTCAAGATTAGCTCTCTATTTGATGAAAGGACAAGGCTGTGTCGAAACCTTCAAAATGATATTTCCAGCTTTAATGTGTAAATAAAGCAGTGCTCCAAGCTGCAACTGCTTTGCTTACAGAGACCAGAAGTAACAATTTTGTTACACTATTGGCAGTATTAATTGCTAGTTCAGCAGTCATCCAATCAGCTGTTTTTTTTTGTGTTTTGACTAAATCTTTACTATGATCTAAGTGGAATGGTGGCCTTATGCTTAACCCTTTACCTCCAACCCATGAGTGACCATGACAGAATTTCTCCTTACAATATCAGTACAACATCAACCAGATAAGTGATGAGGTTAAGGAAAAATATCAATTTGGGGATAATTAGTTGATCCAATACTAAATTATCTCAACTAACAATATAAGACTTGTATGGTTGACAGCGAAGAGAATTACAAATTTGATCTGGGAGTGAAAAGGTTAAAGTGATGGACTATGGATGGGAGGTTCAGGTTTGAAATCCATCTGGGTCAATGTGTTATGCTCTTGAGCAAGACACTTACATGTACCTCTCACAATGCTTCTCTCCACCCAGGAGTAAAATGGGTACTTGCGAATTGTTAAGAAAGCTTGGCGAAAAGCTAGGGAGTAATCTTGCAATGGACTAGCATCCCGCCCAGAGAGGGGGGAGGGGGTGGTGATACTCCTTATTGCTTCATGCTAAGGAAACTGAGATAAACCTTCGTTGCAAGGGCCACTGGCCTTGAGTACATATTTTACCTTTAACTTTATATAATTACAATCACCTTCTGATTCAGATCATCATCATCCTTTGACTTTACAGCAGTCTGAAAAATTGACAGAGGTCTCTCTCCTTCGATGATGTGGATTGGACGGAGTAAGTTCATATTAACACGGATAAAGCCTTGGTACGTGTCCTCAGTCCTCTGGCAAAAAAACAAGCTTTGGATCAGAAAATATAGAGCAAACTTTAAAGGGGGTCTTGATGGAGAAAGCAAAATCTAATTGCTAATTCTCCCCTTCAGCTTTTACACAATTCCTTGAAAATAAGTTGGGAGAATTTGGTGTTAGCTCAAAGTAACAACTTCTACCTGACAAGTTTGGGTTTTCTCATTTGCTGTTTGCTGGATAATGTATAGATAAGATAATGAGAAGTTTCATGTTAATCACCTCTGAGAGGTAAAGGGTTAAAATTTTGGCCACTTAATTGCTAATGGTTTATTTCTCTCCATTAAGGTTAAAATAATTTTTTTACTGCATTTTTTCTTTGACTAGCCCCTTATAATTTGTCCATTTTTATGGCTAACAGCTAATTTTTTTTACTGTTTTACAGCTATGAGTAAACTCACTGAGACCCTCTTTAACTGTTCAACCCCTAAGAGTGACCAAATTCTAATTTCTCCTTACATTATCACCCCTGAATCAAACATTAAGGCCATGAGAATCAAGGAAATGATCACCAACTTAGAAAGCTCTTGATTTTCAAGCAAATTCTCCTCATCAGCGCTCGAGGAAATGTACAGAGAACAGTATGGAGAATATGCAAACTGATGTTAGGGTGTAAAGGGTTGTCACGCATTTAAGATTCTGACGTCAGGCTCTGGTTGTGTGAAGGTTGGATAAACCTGTCCACATGACAAATCTCTTTCTGGTGGATAGTGCAGTACATTCTGTTAGCACTTATCCGCTGAATAGCAATTTACCTGTTGGATAGCGTTCTCTGCCCTTCATACAACCTGTCTCAGATTGACACCTTTTAACGTATGCTAAGCCATGAATTCAAAATCTATCCACAGCAATTACAAATTTGACATGATTAGCTTTTCCAACAATTCAGTAACAAAACATCATGGTTACCATAGACATTATAAGTCCAGTTGTACTTGAATTGTATTCATCAATTTTCGCACGAAGGAGGCTTCCTGTTGGGGAGTCTGTGTACAGTATAAATGGTTCTTTCCTCTTCTCTCCCTGTAAAGATTCACAAGAAAGACAACTTCAGTTCAGCTTTAAATCATACAGATAGCTATACAGTCAACCAAAGGTAACCCTTTTATTCCCATATGTGACCATGATAGAAATTTCTCCTTACAAAATCAATAAAATATCAAGCAGAAAGCTGATGAGAATGAAGGAAAATACAAATTAGGGGATTATTAGTTTATCCAACACCAAATTCTTCAAAACAACATCATATGTATTGTGGGACAGACAGTAAGGAGAATTACAAATGAGATCTTTGGGAGGTAGAGGGTAAAGAAAAAGCTGTGTATCATTCATTCGCAGATAATTTTAAAGACAGTTTTAACTTTGTTAGAAAATGTTCATGTGAACTAGGTGCCAGTTGGCTGTATACCAAGTGGAGCCCACAGATTTGAAGAAGGTTGAACTGGGAGAAAGTTAAGACCTGATACAGAGAGGAACTGGCCAGAAGGTTGGAGCCTATGGCCCTCCTCCTCCCTCTTGCCACAGAAATAGATAAATGCCTGATTTCAGTTCAGGCTTCCTTTAACATTATCCCTTAATATATCATGTTATCCTGGTCAATCTCCTCTCCAATATACTCTAGGTCCCTGAAATGAAATGTATTCGTGTAACCCAACATGAAAAAAACCCTTCACCTAATTATAACCCAAATATTATTTCAGGGAGTTAAATTTATTTTAAATTACATATTTTTGAGAGAAAAATATCCAAATTCACTTTCAAATGAGAATTTTCCCAAACTGAATAGGAGATCAGGACATTTGCTCTGACTACACAGTCACAATAAACACATAGACACACAGGGAGAGTTTATATACAGCCGCAGAAGCACTTAACCACACTGCCCACTCAAAAGTGATGACATTACCTGATCTACAAGATGTAATGTCTTCATGGTCACCTCATCAACTGACATCATTCTTTCATACAGCCAGCTTCCAGTACAGTCTAAATCCACATCCTCTTTGCATCGTCTGTGACAAGTGTACTTGCAATCTGTAAACACAGAAACAGGAAAATTCCCCCGAATTAACAAAGCTCCCAGCCTCAAAGCTTAATTTACAAAGACTCAATCATCAATTCTTCTGGACAGGAAGTGAAAATGAAAGCATTAAAACACAATTCTTGAAAGTTTCAAATTTAGCTTCAAAGTGAAATTGTCACCTTACATTTGAGCAGTACTACTGTCACTATTTTTTTCTTTGCTTTGGGGTTATTGAAAATGCTCTCAATCCTATTTAGATCCAAAGAAACCGTTGAAGGTGAGCTTTTCAGAGAAAAAATAACTTGAAGATGCCAGCATAAACCAGACAGGAACAGTAGGAATGAAAAAAAATTAACATGGATTGAAGAAAGCTGATTGGAAGAAACTAAACCCATTTGAGGGTTTTATTTTATTGTAACTAGAAATAGTCCATTTAAGATTACGTGTGCCATTCGTTGAAAATGAAATATATTTACATTTCACTCTAAGAACAGAAAATCAAAAAATAAATTTTCTTACATTTAGAAATTTTTTACTAGCAACACAGTAAAAATTCCCTGCAGAAAAAAAGGCCTTACTTCAAAGATAGCTCAATAATGACAGTCCATTCTTGAGAAATTAAGAAACAAATATTGATTGAAAGCAGACTCAAATGTAAATGACTAAATTGGATGTTAGAAGATGAATAATCTTCTATTTTTAATTAATAAGAGGTGAGAAGGTGTCAATTTTCTGATTAAATCTCATATTTTGGTCTCCACCCATTAAAAAATTCATTTCTTCACTTATTTTGCCCAATGAGACATTTTGGTTGTTTAATAAATGTGTATTTGGTGAAAAAACTTCAGACTTCTCATCCACCACAGTTGATAATGAAAGGATGATTCATCTCTTTTGATGATTATATCTGATCAAATGGAAGCCACTGGATTTCAAATTCTTTTAACTGTCACATAAAAAACTCACCACAAAAATGTGGTCCTTTACTGACAGAAAAAAGCAATTTGATCCTTTCTGTAGTTAAAGGTAATTTTTGATTATTACAAAATTGTATGCAGCTGAACTCACAATGTTTCTTTGCACCATACACTTCTCCTTAAAAATTAATTTTGTCCCAGCCTTGCCATGCATTTGTACTATAATGACAATGGTCACAAGATGACATTGAAATAACAATTTTTCTGATTACTTTGCAAACTCTCGTGTCTATGTAATATTTATTAATTTAATTACAGCTTTATCAATAATAAAATACGGAAGAATGTAAATGAAAAAATAGTGAGGTAGGCAACCCCTTGTCAGTAAAATTATAATATATTAACCTGTCTTGAGTTTGCGTTTTTTTTCATTAAACAAGTGGCTGTCCCTACTGACAAGGGAACATCTCCATTAAAAAAGAGCACCTACAAATGACAGAGATAAAGACAGTTTCTTTGATCTATTACATACGGACCAATACAGGCTGTACGTTTTTCACTTCAGTGGACAATTTTAGGGGTCATCAGTAAAATGAACATAAAAAAATTCTTTAAGCTAACAGTACCCTTCAAAGAATTTGTTTAGCAGAAGAGAAATATTTTGTTACTTGCCTGGAACTGATCAATAGTTCAAATTTCAAGGCCAAAGGAAGGTGAAGGAAATTTGTGAATATTGATTAAGATTATGTAATATTGCTTAGGATTTGAAGCTTATGATTTAAAGTTACAATAATATTATAATTCAAGTACAGGCACAAGCGCAAATGAAGGTAGATCCTTGTGAATGCAGAAATTAGTTTCAAAACTGCCATAAGACTCTTCTTGTGTTAGAAGAGGAACAATTTATACGGATGTTCCACACAATATAATTGACAATTCCAAATTGCACCATCTGTTATTCAAGAGTTTTAGCTGTTAAATAAGATGTTAACATGGCGATAAAGATTTCTTCTGCTGAGAATTTTTTAGGTATACTTAATTAAACATGATTACTGGAGTAAGAAGGAGATCGCCTCTCCCCACCCCCCCCCCCTCCAGCTTCTCTTCTCAACCAATACCCAAGTCAATGAATGCCTCAAAGACCAAACTCATACTAACCACTTAGTGAAAAAAAACAGGAGTTTCCTTCTACAATATCAAAACATTTTCAGAAGACACCCACATCCATACTGAGAAATGTTGTTCCATAAAACCCACAAGCAGACATTTAGGTTTCAGTTTTTTTTTTATTATAAATTTTCAATTTAACACTACATCTTTTGCTTGTAAAAAGTTTGTTTTAGCAAGGTAGTGTTGCTTCATCTTATAGCCAAAGCTAAGAGAGGTTTTCATTACTCACTCTGTTATGCTTCAGGGTTAACAATAGAGCACTGAATCTGCTACAGTTTTATGAATTAAGCAAGCAGTCTCCTAAGACTCCAAACTATTCCTGCTTAACTTTGCCATCCAGAAGTGACCAAAATACAATTTCTCCTAACAGTGTCAATGAATTTTAAGGCAGAAAGGTAAAAAGAAATGAAAAAAATTATAGCCAGGGGATGATCCTGGATTTAGTGCCAAATTCTCACAACTAAACTTAAGAAAAATTTGTAACAAACAGGATGGAGAGTTGACAACCAGATCTTAGGAGTTGGGGGTTTATAAAGACAATTTTTATCTTCAGTTTGACTCTCCTTAATATGCACAAAAAACTATTTTCCAAAGCACTTTGGAAAATAGTTTTTTGACTTTAAAATTTTTCTTATTGAGTTTTAAGTTCATGGAAAATAAATTCTGGGTTGGGAAAATTTGAAACACATCTAATCTACATGCCTTTAATATTAGGGGTTTAGGAAATCATCAGCCTCTCATAAACATTTTAATTGATAAATGCCTTGCAATAATTAATATTTAATATAGCATGTGAATATTTCTAGCCACTTCAATATTTAAGTGAATTCCTGAACAAGAACCTAACCAATTCCGGGATGAGAAAATTTGAAAAGCATCTAATCTATATGGCTTTAATATTAGGGGTCTAGGAAATCATTTGTCTCTCATAAACATTTTAATTGATAAATGCTTAGCAATAATTAATATTTAATGTAGCAAGTGAATATTCCTAACCATTTCAATATTTAAGTGAATTCCCGAACAAGAAAACTAACCAGTAAAATAGCTGGCATCGGTTTACTGAGAACAAGGCAAAAAAACAGTTAAATGGATGAGTGAATTTAACTTGTTTTAAATATTTTTTGCGATCATTACGAGGTATACATTACAAGCGAATCATTTGTTATGAGATTAATTCGTAACGTACATATTATTGTACGAGATTCACCTGTGTTTCAGGATCAGCAGATTAGTATTTACGACCTTACTCCCCTTGTACTTACCAATGGACTTTGCCAAAGGGGAAAAAAAACCTTACTTTCCTCCTGGTTGATATAATTCCAGAAGCTACGATCAACATACGTATATGGTGTGTTTACTTTTTACAGAATTTACAATGTGCGCCAACCGGCTGTTGTTGAGCAAACAGCCAGATGTGATACAAACTAGAATTATCCTTTGCTTGCAATTCAATCCTTAATATGGTGAAGAAACACTTAATAATTACTCACTTTTGCAGCGCACACATTGCTTGAAAAGTCCCCAAATAAACTCTCCACAACAGTCGCACCATGTAGGATTTCGTAGTTGATGTTGAATAAACGTATGTCCTCTCCCGACATGTCTAACCAGCGCTTTCTCGTCGCTAACATTTTCCGTGGTCACAGATCGTTTTATAGTGCTTCGTTTCTTAGGTCCTTTCCTATTGACAAAGTTCGAGATGAAATCTTTCACTGGATTACTTGCAGTATGTTTCTCTCCGGGTATATGAGGTACAGATATGGCGCGACTTCTGTCCCGAACATCGTTCGCCATGTGAGATTTGATTTGAGCACGTTTTCTATCTAGAGAGTTGGGATCTCGAGGTTTCGTTGCTTCGTTCGAGAACACATCGTCACTTTCCATTTCAAAACCAGTTGATCGTGTTAACAAATAAAGCAAGGCAAACAAACCTCTTTCAAAAATGAGCAACAATCTCGAAGTTAACCACTCGAGGATTCTATTCTTGGGCAAATTACGATTGCCGTTCTGCAATTCAGTTCGCATAAGGGCCTATGATAAAACGACTCGAATGGAAGACTTGTTTACGGTTGTCACACACATCCTGAAACTGAAACCAGGCTTTCAGCTCGCTAACCGCCATATTCGTCTAGGGTGAAAGATGATCTCTCCTAGCCAAAGGGGTATGCGTCATTAAACAAATAACAAATCTGATTCTTTCTGGGTGGGGAGGCTAGGGACTCCCATAATTTTCGTGAAACAGTTTGGGAATTAAAACTTAGAACGTGAACTGAATCCTTTTTCTGAATATTTGTTGTTGTTGTTGTTTTTTTAACAGAGTTTAGAGGGCCGAAAGCTAGCGGTGGAAAGACTTTTATTTTCGAATGAAAATTAATTAAAATTGGTAACCCACTAGCGGAGAAAACTAAGGCCTACTGCGTGCGTAAAACCGCGGTTTGGATTCGACCTCGCGTAAGTAACCGGTCCGTGGTTTTCAAGAGGTAAATTTTGTGAAATATCCGTAAACTATGAATGGAAATTGATATATCGAGAACAGTTCTTTTAGAGAATTTCAGTTTGATAAATTTAAAAAAAAATTATGTAGATTTTAGTTGTGACATTTTGATTTCTCTTTTGTGAGAATTAGCGTTTCGATTGGCAAGGCAGCTAAGGCGAAACAAGTCATTTGCGAAAAATACTGAACTAAATGACGACGAAAGAAGACAAAATAAAAAAGAAAAAGAAAAGAAAAGGAATGACAGGGTCGAGTTCGACTATCTTGGTCGGGCTGTGAGCAACCGCCTATTCACAGGTGCTATCCCACTACTGTTTGACGCGGGAGCTTTTGCCTGCTGTGTTTCCACCCTGGGCCGGTTCGCTCCTCTTTAACCAACCTGGAGAACTCAGATTCCTCTGTGTTCACCATATTGACGCCAAACTTAGCGCGGACACCCGATCTACATAGAACGACTACCCCCAGGAATCCCGCCCTCAAGCCATTCAGCGACCCCAGCCTCCAAGCAGCTGGATTACAGACGTGCGCCACTACGCCCGGCTGATGTAATGCGCTCAAATTTATGGTGTCAATAGTGGTGAGCCTCGACTGCCCGCCGGAAGTAAAAGTGCTCACTTGAAAATATTTTGCTTGCATTTATTCGCTAAATTCTCAATTTTAATCTGTGAAACAGAAAGATAACTTTAAATATGGAGTTAAATGATCATTTAAGTAAAAAAGTAATGGCGATAGTTAATTAAAATTTATCTTATTTGTTGGGCCCGTTTTCCGACGGAAGTCGAAGCTTCATAATCGATAAAATTAAAAAGTTGGATCGGACTCATAAAATGGACAAAGGAACAAATCTCGGCCGACTGTGACACTTCTCTTTCATGAAAGGCTGTCTGTCTGTTGAGCAAAGAGATTGATCGAGGAGGCCATGGTTGAGGAAAAGCCCTAGTTTACACATTTGCTTGCTGACTGTTTTCCAATTCCAAACGCTTCTAATGTAGTTTGCCGTTGAGTAAAAAAAAAAAGAGAAAAATAATAAATGTCAACGATTTCTATTCAGGATAAAGCATCGATCATTTGCTTTAAAATAAAATTGAGCCTATGAACTCACTTAGATATTAGAATTGTGCTAGTTTGACGGTTTAGTTATAGTTAGCAGAGAGGATACGTCCAAACTTGCCAAATAAAGATTTAAGGAAGTAAAATAAATAAATAAATAAATAAATAAATAACGCAAAGCGAACCGAGCATCTGAGATGCTTGAATTGGCTGAGCATAACTTAATTTCGATGTGAAGACGAACCTTTGGAACAAATTTTTTTTAAACTAGATTGAATAACGCATTTGGTAACGTTGTAATAAGCAGAAAGTGTACGCCACCACAAGGCATGGAATACTCAGTCATTTCTGTCACGCACTCAATAACCAAACACGCTCCCTTGAAAACTCTCCCTTTTAATTTAAAATCATTTACGTCTTGATATTTCTAAAATATAAAATACTACGACAACGTAATGTTTTTTTTCTTTTATTGGTTAAGCCTTTTGTTATCCAATAAAGGTGAAATGAACATGAAATCTAATTTCCTCTGATAATCCAATTAAACACTCTAATTGTCCTTGGTTGGTTACAATTATGTTTACTAGTACTATCTATGAAAATCAATCACTGCTTTTTTTCTAGCGAAATAATTCTGGAAATATTTTGCAATAAAATATTGTAACCCTTTGATGCACACTCACATCAATAGACCTACCCTTCATACATTTCCTAAGATGCTAACCAGGAAAATTTGTGCAGAAATCAAGAGCTTCTTCAGTGGTGAACATCTCCTTTATTCCCCGCTGTGCCCGAAAGATATTGTTTTAGTATTCTTAGTACTGTACTAGTTTCTTTTGAGTGGTCACATTTCACCGATTGGTATTATTTCAAAGCCCTAAATCCACGGTCTCACTGTAGGCTTCCCTGCAGGAATCCCCTGAACATGTCGCTAGATCCACGAGGCGAGAGTGTTTTTTTGCTAGAAATTTCGGAGCAACTTTTTTGACGATATTCGTCAGTTGATCAGGATCTTTCTTGATATCGTACAGCTCCACAAAGGCCTGTATTGGAATACACGAAAAACAGCAAAGTTTGAAAACTCCGAGAAAGAATCGAGAAGAGAAAGATAAAAAAGCCTGGAAAGCATTCAAAAGGAAGAAATTCGCGCGGAAACACGCCACAGAACAGTGCGCAGGAAAACAAACAATCGATGGAAAGCGCTGGAAATCGAAATCGTGAACCAAGCAACAGGTTTTAAGTTCTTGCATATAACTTCATGCCTAAACCTATAACAAGAAATAATAATGGACTGACTGCACACCCGTGTCGTTCCTAGTGTCCCTTAGACAAACCCATTGTAGTACGTGTTTATCTGTTCTTTGTTAAAGTTACCTCTTTGTCGTTAAACTCACAGTACATCATATCCTCCGACGAGCTTAGAGAACGGACACAAGAATATGTGTTGTTCCAAGCGTCTTCGCACACACAGTTGGGCCAACAACACTAAAGAAGAAAATAAAATGGAAAGTATAAAGGGGGAAAAGAAAAATGAGTGTTCCTTTTATTCTGTTCACCCCCCTCTTCCCTCCTTTAGAGGCCTGGCTACGCAGGCTACGGCTTTCTGATCAATTATTCATTTTGCATTGGTAGAATGAAGGAAACACGTAATTGGAGCTCAAGATACATTCTAATAAACTCAGTAGTCGTATAGTTATAAAAGGCAACTGTTATTCTGCTTAACGTCAAACTTTTATGCCTCAAATTCTGTTGTATGCATCAAGGGCAATTACCTGCATAGACTTTTATTACTGGTATCTGCACACAGTCACCGTGGAAGGGAGACCATGAAAACTATAAGTGCCAATGAGGTGGGACCCTGAACCTACCGTGTAACTGTAACTGAAATGTAGGACCGCTTGGCCGTGGAAGGTCAGGGTATGTTACTTAGACAGAGCTAATCTCGTATCCAGATCCTACTGTGTAACTGTAACTGTAACTGTAACTATTACCACATGGCAGTAGAAGGTCTGGATACTAGACTTAACAGAGCCTTATGAAAGGAATCTGGCAAATTAAAATTCTGCGACGAGTTACATACCGACACACCAGGAGAAAGCTGCGGACAGCCCCTAATCTTAAGATCTCCTTCACCAAAGTGTTGAACAAGAAAGTCTGTCCGCCAATTTGCGTTTCCCTGAATAGAAACAAAGAGCAACACTTTTCACAAATGGAAGCTAAACCATGAAGGAGAAATGGCAAAACTAATTTTCAGAGGGTGAATGAGAGAAGGAGATCGAAATTTGTCCAATTTGAGGGTTTTAAAGCGTCTTACTTTGTTAGCGAAACACCGATTTCTTACAAGGAAAAAAAACGTGCAATAAACGAAAGAGAACTAAAAATGGTGGCATAGTTAGTTCTACTAACTATGATGGTGGTAAATAATTTTTTTTGACCCGGTTTGGAATTGCGAAAAGTGCGGTATAGATGTGTAAAACAGTGATTGTAATTTTTTGCTTTTAAAAAACTCACCCCTTTGTGGCTGCTCTCGCCATCTGCCTTCTAAAATTGAAGAACAAAAGTGATTATCGACTTATCTTTTCGGCAAATAGACAAACAGAATTTTTACCAAGCTACTTGTAACTTAAACTGAACTGCTAGTAGAACAACACAGAAAGAGTAAGAGAGATATACAAACTACTTGAAGGTCTGTTACAAGTTAAAACTTTCAACAAGAGTTACACTGTGCCCAACAGGTAACCCTCTGTACAAAATTACTATACGCTGTCTGTCTAGAACAGCATCGACTGCGACGAAACGCCAAGCTATGAAAACGTTTGGAGTTAAAAGCTGTGATTAAATAACAAAAAAAGGAAATATCCCTTGCTAAAAAAGCCAAGTGGATCAGACTGTGCCATGCTGTAGGAAAACAGGATGCCCTAAGGAATTATTCCTTCCTCAAAAATATTTTCCATTTGATTTTGCGCCCAGAATTTTCGGTTGAATGGAGAGCGCGCTTCCGTAGAACCGCATTTCAGTTTTCATCACGACTGACCATGTTACGTGTATAATTAAGCTCGCTGAAACGTGTTTCTTTCGGCAAACGCTACTGCAGGCAAGTTTTAGCTGAACTATCCTCAAGCACTAATAACGCACCAAGAGAGGGAGAATCGATCGTCCGTCCATGGACTCAGGGGCTTTCCCGCCAGCTAGCTCCACAATAGTCGGTGCTATGTCAATATTGAGAATAGGACTCTACAAAATGTAAAACAAAATTGGTGAACGCTTAGTTTGAATAATTCCAGAGGGCTACACGATCATCTTCATAGTAACTATGTCACTACCCTGCTTGCCAAGAAGAAAACATAAAAACTAAAATATTGACAACAAATTCAATATTTCTTTGTATTTTAGGGCCACGCCCACATTGTGAGACTCTGATAACTATAAGGGGGTGAGTTTCTAAAGAAACTGTGGCCCATCCAGCTTGATTGTATCTCTGTTTCCTTCGCATGGAGCGACTAGTAGTATTACCACTCCCACCTGGATGGGATGCCAGTCCATCGCGAGGTTACTCCCCAGCATTTCATCAGGCTTCCCTGACAATTCACCAGTAACATTAATATTCCTGGTTGGAGAGAGGCATAGTGTTTGCCCAAGAACACAACATATTTACCCGAGTACCCGGCTAAGTCTCGAACCCAGACCTCTCGGCCCTGAGTCCAGCGCACTTTGTATGTCATCAGGTCACCGTGGATGTGTTCTGAGACCGACCACTAACAGCTAAACTTAACGTCTCTCGTCCGAACAGTCACTCTACTCAATCAACGGATTTTTTTCGGTAAGAACCACCATTACGTTTCTTCGAGAAACATTTCACCGCCGGTATCACTTCTTTTAAAGGACGCAATGATCGTAACCGCACTATATTCTAAGAATGACATTTTCACCTGTGATGTTTTGTTAGCCATCACTCCAGGACCACGGATCATGAAGGGAACGCGTACATCAAATTCGTACAGCTGCCGCTTGTCTTGTGGAAGAGAAAACTGACCTAAACAAGCAAATGGTGTGCAGTTATGACCAGTGCTTTGTTAAACACGGTTTTCTTCTAAGAAGTTGCTTACACTGACTGACTGCTTACACTGACTGACTGCTTACACTGACTGACTGCTTACACTGACTGACTGCTTACACTGACTGACTGCTTACACTGACTGACTGCTTACACTGACTGACTGCTTACACTGACTGACTGCTTACACTGACTGACTGCTTACACTGACTGACTGCTTACACTGACTGACTGCTTACACTGACTGACTGCTTACACTGACTGACTGCTTACACTGACTGACTGCTTACACTGACTGACTGCTTACACTGACTGACTGCTTACACTGACTGCTTACACTGAAAATTTAAGTAACTGATAAATTGAGTCCATTATAAACTTCCTTTTTTCCAGTTTTTTGTGGCTGAATTTAATTCAGGTGAACATGTCTTAACTAATCATGCTTCACTGGTGTGATTGCAGCATCAGATGATTACACTTTCCCACACAAGAAATAGTCACTTGTGGGTAATAACTCTTTGAATTTTGTTATGTGTATCGTCATATTTACCCAGATGAAATCCATTATCTGATGAAAATATGATATAAGTATTCTCCAAGTGTTTCCCCTTGTCCAATGCCTGAACGACTTGGTCAACAAGATCATCCACTGATAACAAAGTACGCCACCTTAAAACGCAATGTTAGAATGGATCAGTTGATACAAAGCAGCAAACTTTCTTTTTCATATTCTGAGATTTTTCTATCCTTAGGGTCAGCTTAAAATACACACATCTTATCTGCTTCTATAAAATGTGCAGTACCAAGAAATTCTTATTTGGGGGGATGTAATTAAATTTTTCCAAACCTGTTTCTGAAGATAGAATCTGAGGCATTGATGGATGAATCCTTCATTGGATGTGGAGTGTTTCTGATCAGCCAGTGCTTGGTCTTAAAACGACAACAAGAAAAAGGAATATAAAAATTATTGCAGGTGTGCAAATTTAGGGAAGCATGCATTTCAGTGTCTTAATGTAATAGCTTGTTGTACAATGTACTGTGTGAGCTGGGTCTGTGAGCAGATGACATGACACATGTTCCATATGTCTGTTCCAACTGCTTCACTGAGTCAGTAAGGTAATCTCTTGTGTTGCCTGCTCGGGACTGCCTGCTATGATTCTGAAGAGATAAATTGCTTGTACAAGTAATTCTGGTTGGTGTGTGCAACAGGTCTGCTTTGTAACAATATCTGAAAAATATCCTCTGGTAGTTTTCAAATGAAATGGGTACATTTTGAAAGCAGCATAACAAATACAATAAAGACAAGTAAAGGATATGAATCTATTTTGAAACCCTTGGGTTTAATATTTTTGCCATATTACAGAGTAAGTTTCAATAAAATGTCCAGGGTAATCTGGGATTGCTTTTGATTTGTTTCTTTTTACTTTGCTCTGTAATTTGTTGGGAAAACTAGTGCCAGTATCAACCTCAACCAATCAGATTTTAAATTAAAACTAATAATATTGTGACTTGGTCACTCAGGTGTTCCCATGCGATATTATTCTTTGCTTTGATTGGCTTTTATTATAATTAGCTTGGTTTTCAATTACCACATGTAATTATGATGCCCTCGTAATCCTTTATGGTCAATATATTGCAATGCAGTCTTAATTTTGGAGGATCAGGATAGCTGGAAATTGGCTGCTTCATCTTCTCTTTATCATGAACTTTGACTTTTTCTCAGTCCATATAAAGAAAGCTTGGCCATTACCTCTTGGAAATTATGTGAACAAATAAACATGGCTCTACTTACAGGTCCACCTGCTGTGTTAAAGCTCTTTGTCCTTGGTGCCTTACTTGTATTAAAATTATCCTTGTACTGAGGTGCAGGTGTGAAAGGGGCATGGCAGGCAGGGGTGGCAACCATCATAAAGAAAGGGGGTGATGCTTCTGACTGCTCATTTATGAAACTGACTGCATGTTCTTTCTGAGAAGAAGAAACGTCAATTACCACTTTGCATATTCTCAGTACTGATCTCTATACATTTCCAAAGGGTCTGTCGAGGAGAATTTGTTTAACAATCAAGAACTTCTTTAGTTGGTGATCATTTCCCTTATTCTCCTGACATTGTGATCAAGGAGTGATATTTTAAGGATAACTTAGACACTTGTCACTCTTAAGAGTTAAATAGTTCATACATATTGATGTTGAAGCTAAGCTTACAAAGAATTATTGTTTTAAAAAATCAAGTAATTTAACAGGCTTCTTCATATTCAACCAAGTGATTGTTATGGTAGTAACCTTCAACATATAATTTTACCTCAGTAGTCTCGTGTAATTTTAATGCTGTTTGTTTTAAGCTTACCAAAATATCTGTGAGGTAGTCAGAGGCATAAGTATCTCCGTGTTTCTCTGGATTCCCATTCACTGACAATGTATAGTTGTAGTACCTGGAGTTACCTACAAGTCCAACCCATTCATCCCAACCTGGGGGAACATGTTCAGGCCCCCCTACTTGCGGCATCCCGTATTGATTCAGGTACTTCCCACTGAAGAATGTTCGATAACCGAGCTTTTTCACGTAGGTGCTGACTGAGTGCTTCTCTGGCCCCTGTTGCCATCCAGGACTTGAACAACCTCCTGATATGGAGTTGTTTCTGGCCCGATGATTGTGTATATACTGTCCAGTCAGAATACTTGATCGGCTCGGACAACAGAGAGGACTTGTCACAAACTGCCGGCAAAAGAAAAAGATGTTAACCTCTTGCAGCTTGACCCTTTAACTCCCAAGAGTGACCAAGACAGAATTTCTCCTTACAATATCAATACAATATCAATCAGATAAGTGATGAGAATAGAGAAAAATATAAATTTGGGAATAATTAGTTGATCCAATACTAAATTCTCAGAACTAACATTATAAGAATTGTGTAGTTGACAGTAAGGAGAATCACAAATTTGATCTGGGAGTTAAAGGGTTTAGATCAGTAAGCTTATTCTCTACTCTGTTTGCAACACATTTCCTAATGTGCTAACAAGGAGAATTTGTCTAGCAATCAATAGCTTCTTTCATCAGTGATTATTTTCTTTTCTCTTGTGACCTTTATGTTTGATTCTGTGGTGATATTGTAAGGAAGCTGAAAGGATTAAACATAAACCACAAGCAAGGGCAAAATAAGAAATTGTGTCATTTCTGAGGCTTCAAAACCTTAACAGTTCTCATTGTTGTGGTTGGATGCTCTACCAACTTTGCCACCAAGAACTTATTGGCAGGTGGAAATCAGCTGTCACATCATCATTTATAAAAAAAAAAAAACTACTTAGGTCTCACTGTATGGAAGTGTAGAAGTAACTTACCATGTTGTCAAATTTTACACCATGCTGACCGATCAGCGTCTCAGTTTTCTTCAAAGGAGTCTACCAAAGTGGTACAAATAAAAAATGCTCAAAAGAGAATTTCTCCTTACAATATTGATACAATATCAAGCAGACTAGTGATGAGAATGAACAGAAGTATCAATTAGGGGATTAACAGTTGATCCAAGAACAAATTATCTGAACTTTCATGACGCGAATTGTATGGTAGACAGTAAGGAGAATTACTAATGAGATCTTGAAAGTGGAAGAATTCAGATCGATAGCCTCACCATAAATGTCACATGAGAATTTAAAGGCTAAAGTTTATGACTGTGAAAATTGGTTGAATTTTGAAAATAGTTACACAGCTCACTTATACCTGTAAGAAGTAGGTCAATTTTAAAAGAACAGAGTGGAATATTGAACGACGATGATTTTGATTCGGGTTGATCGTCTACAACCACGGAAAGAACTAGAGGGCTTATTCTTTTTTTCAGTTGTAACAGAAATAGATATTTACATTCCTTCGATCGTCGTCGATCTTATCGAATCAAAGCTGAAGCGCTGGAATAAGCTGCGATTTCTAAATGAATGCTACTTACAAGTCCTCCTAGCACAACATCTTGATCATCTGTAAGGATAAACACGATGTTTGGTTTACTCGTCGAACTAGTACTGGCGATGGAACAGCCGGAACATAGCACGAGAAACAGTAAAATAGGATTCTGCCTCAGGGCCATTTTGATTTAAAACCAAGACTAAGAGATCTCTAGTCAGCTAACGTCTCTGAAAAATTGATCCTTTTCTTGACGGATTCATGTGAACGTCTCGTGAGCCACCTCAACTTTTGTTGTCTTTTTGACCCGGCTCACATTTCTGCGCGAGGGACTGTTGCAGAGTTGAAGCTAACGCAATCAAAGTCACGCTAGTCACGCTTGGTATAGTCACACAGCAATCATTTTTGCTCACTCGCGCGAGAAAAAGGCGCCATCGAATTTGAAAATACTAGCTTTTTGTGAGAAGAAAATTAGAAAAAAAATTTGCTGTGTTGTATCATGTCTGCTCACTGACCGAAGTATTTTTGTCCAGGGCTCTACTTCCACGAAGAAAATTGATAAAGTCACGCTGATCGGAGCGTTTTACAATATTTTAGCATTATTTTAGCGTTATTTTAGCATACGCCGTTTCTTAGGAACCTTCCTTGCCTCGACAAGTATGAAAAGTATATAATGGGTGATGTGCATTGATATGCCTTGTAATGAGCTAAAGCCTTCGAAGCTTGAGTAAGTATAGAGGTTTCAAATCAACTTGGGGTTGCGTTTCTGCAAGAGAAAATATCTCTTTAAGAGAAGAACATGGGACAAATAGGGAAAATCAGGGCGTTCGGCAGGTTACGTCAATTTTATTTGTATTTTTTTATCTGGGGGCGAAAAAAAAGACCCGCGATCGAAGAAAAATCCTTACGAAATTTAAACACGCAATGGAAGAAAAAATCGTTCTTCTTCTCTTGCTTCCACCTGTCTACACTGATGTGTTTTCATTTGAAAATGGATGCATTTTAATGCGTTCAGTTTTCGTCCATCGTCCACACTTCAACGCCCGAAAGTGCCGATGGAAGGGACAGTACGAGACGTTTTCGAGAGTTCCAATGTTCATCAACCTCTTTTGAGCAATTTTGAGTGAATTTTTGGCAAAAATGTGTCAGAGAAGTGAGCGTTTGCGAACAAAAATGCAATAGTATAATTAAGCTCGATCATGAGGTAGCTATACCAATCCTCACTTGTCTCCTGTAACGCGCGGCAGGATAGCACCAGGAGTCTGGAAGTGAGTGATCGGTCTGACATTAAATAGGCAAGAGATTGGGCTCCCCCTTAAAGAGGGTGGAATATCCTAGACTCAGTGATCTACGATTAATTTCCAGCAGAATAATATATTTTAGTAATCAAATCGATTGCAAAACCAGCTTTGTTAACAAACCCGAATCGCTTGGACCTATTGTTCAAACTTTCTCTCGTACAGCACTTTGAGACAGTCCGTCCAAACAACTCTCTGATATTCATAAAATCGTTTTATTTGCACTAGCAATCGCTGGGCTTAAAGACGAGTGGAACGAATCCAGATCGTTGCTGAAGATTGATCTTTTCTAGTGTGTGACAAAATAAAAACAGCGATTTATAAATCTTGTTTGTTTAAGTGTTAACTTATTTCCTTCGACTGCAAATAGTTGCCAAAGATTCTTTTTGTCCATTTTCTATCTCCGTCAAAGAGACTTGACTTCCAGCGTTCTGTAAATTCACGGGACTTTCCTCTATCGATTGTAGACTACTTTCGACTCCATTTGCACCCCCGCTTAAGACGTCAGGCCACTCCGAGGAGTTTGGATCGTATGGCTCAATTCCATGTTCAACTTTATCTGCGCCTAATAATTCATCTTCTTCGCTCATGCGCATTCCCACCAACAGATTGACCAATAGCAGCTGCAAGTAGGTGGTGGTGGCAGCCCATGCAGTCATGGTAAGTGACATAAGCAGCTGAACTCCCAAAAACTTCCAAGGACCACCTTTGAAAATTCCAAACTCGCCGGAAAATGTATTTTCCAAGACGTCCTTCTCGGTAAAGAAGGCGACGGCGACTAGGCCCCAGATTCCTGCGAAAGCGTGTGTCGGTACGCAGCCGACAGGATCATCGATTTTGAGCCGCTCGAGAAGCTCACATCCAGGACATGCCAACATGGCGCCTATTGCACCAATCAGAAGAGCCTCCCAAGGGCGGGCAAGAGAACAGATGGCTGAGCAGAGAAGAAAAGAAAAAAAGAATTGATTGGTTCATCAATCTTCATCGTTAAAAAAAATTAATGTCTGTTTGAAGCTTAAAGGTAAAATTTGAAAAAAAAACACTGACTCAGCCTCCAGGACACGATTGTTTTTCGTTTTTCAGGCGCGCGGTGGCAAGTGCGAGGCATCTTGAGTTCAACCGGCCACGTATTTATAATTACTCATTGCATTTCACACATCTTTGAGTACTGCTTAAGGTATACTCTGCTATTTAATTGTAATGGGATTTCCGAAATGTACAACTGATTTCACGTTTTACCTGTTATACTGACGAGTCCCGACAAAATCCCGGTAACAAAGATTGATATGTTTAGCTTCTTTTTACAGAAAACGTAGCTAAAGGAAAAACCAGACAATCTACATGTGAGACGTCAAGTGCAAAGAAAAAACTTCATACAAAGATTTCAAGACCATTTCTGTATTAATTACCTGTAGACCATTCCCAGAATTCCTCCGCCTATCGAGCCATTGATGGTGACGACCGCTGACCTGGAAAAGGAGAGAGATGAATCGAAAGTTACCGTAGTAACTATGACGCGTCTATAGGAAATTTTTCCCCTGATATCCTCCATTATTTAAGACAACCAACTAGCATATATCAAGAATTTCTTTTGAGTGTTTCTTCCAAGCAATGATTAGCAAATTATGTTTAGAAAAATCACGCGTCACGCGCACTAAAAACAGTATTTCACGCTTCACGCATTTGAAGGGAAAACTTCGAATCTCCCCTTAACTTGCCTTTCTGTAAAATTCTCGCGTCACGTCTTTCCACGCTCTAATGCTCACAAATTCATTAACAGCTCTGTGTCGCCATTTTGCAAGCAGAACTTCCGTGGGGTAGCTCTTCATTTAACACTCACTAATAAATGGTTTTGAAAACTCGGCTTCTCTTTAAACTTTTACATCTTTCTACTAAACATTAAAATAAATTGGCAAATGGCACTTGAATAAATCTAACTTAATCCAGCATTCAGACCCTCAACTTTGTGACAAAGAAAATTTTTTTTACCTCGACGCAAGCTTCCATTTCATTCCACTTATTCCAAATGTGCTACCACAATTGAAACCCAACCACCCCCACCATAACATGAAAGTTCCCAGGAGAACATTTGTCGGGGAAGTCATCTGTTGCGGTGGAGAATTTTCATCAAATCTTCCTATGCGAGGCTTTAACATCATGGTCGCTACCAATCCACTTACTCCTCCAACTAAGTGGACAGCTCCGCAGCCGGCGATGTCGACTGCCCCCATTTTGGCAAGCCAGCCATTTTCAGCCCAAATCCAGTGAGCGGGTACGCTATATGTTAGAGTGTTGATAAACGAATAAACCGTATATGCTTTTAAGCATGTTCTCTCCGCCATTGCACCCGAGACAATCGTAGTCGCTGTCGTTGCGAACGAAAGCTGAAAAAAGTACTTTGAGAACACTTGCCCCATTTCATGGTCATCAGCGTCCGTGAAAAAATATCCAACACCGAAGAAACCATTCCCAGCCGTGCTGCTTCCGAAACTAAGTGCGAATCCGAAAAGCCAATAGGACAATCCACCGTAGATGACATCAACTGCGTTCTTGACCATGATATTAGCTTCATTTTTTTTGGACACCATACCGGATTCGAGGAGACCGAAGCCAGACTGCATTGTGAAAATAATGAAAGCGCTGGTTAGAATCCATGTTGCGTCATCGGAGCCTACAAGTTCTCCTTCGTTTACGATGTTTGCCACCGGCGGCGTTGTGGAATTAAATGAAGATCCGTTCGAATGATTCATCATGTTCGTTTATTTGCCTCCTGAGTAGAAATAAAAAACAACAACAGAGCTGAGTCTAAGCAAACGACAACATTAACAACTAGTCTATGTACTTACCTTTGAAAATGAAAAAAAGCAATTCCGCAGTGCGTAATAATGTAAATGTCATAATTTACCAGCAACCGAGAGAATATACTTGCGCTTCCCACAGCTTTTGTTGTCAGGTGACAAAAAAATCAAAAACCTATTTTCATAATACACTACTTTTCGTTAATTGGATAAAACAGCGCTAGCGTACTGCGAGAACTTACCCTGATCGGTATTCAGATGGGCATTCAGTCCGATCGGCTTCGATGTTATACATTATTTAGGTCGGACTTAAATTGTCTTGAGTTTACTAACATCTTCATTTGCATAGGTGGGATGAATAAAAATCTTAAGGACTTTCTCGCAATAATTGATTTCTCTGTTTTGTCATTCAGAAGACACCTGGATCAGAACCTTAACAAGCAGAATTCATAGAATTCTTTCGAAAGCATGTGGGAGAACACTCAACGGGGATTTTCACAAATTACTGGGGCAAAAGTTTTTTCAACGTAAGTCGTATTGTGTGTAAACTGCGAAATTCATGCAGATTATGGTGGGCCGTGAAAGCGCTAAAGAGATGTCTACAAGTAACTTCTCAGCGCTAATGAATATCATTAAAATCATCCTGTCACTGTTTACGATAACAGATGCTAATCTTGTGACGGAAGACGGTGATTCAACGGAAATTTTCGGATCACTTTTAATCTTAATGTCTCGTTTATTTTAATGTTACAATCTTTTACGTGAAAGATCATCGTTAAATACTGATGAAAGAAGAAGAGATCTTAACAGAGCAGGAAAATATTAGACAAGTATATAACACAAAGAAAACTGACATCGTTGCAAAAAAAGGAAGGGGCATCATCAGGTGCCACAAAGGGAAAATAAAAAAACTTCCACCAGGAACGTGATCATAATTACCTTCAAATTATTAATTCGAATCGGTCACATACATCCGCATTTTAATTACCCTTCGCAGTATATTGAAAATATAATTGTATGATAAAACCAGTAAAAAATAAACACTAGAAGGTTCTCGCATCAGAATTTTTACACGGACCTGGATTGGAGACAAGCGGAAATTGACCAAAACATCATAGTTTATTTAAAACGCTTTAGATTGACAAACTGACCATCCATTTCCTTATCAGTTTAAAACCTTGCTCTTCCGTCGCTAAAGAGAAATTTAATACTTAATGCTCGAAATTTAGTCCCTTTCGTGTAGCTAGCAGATGCAACTAAAATTTCCTCTATTAACTCTAAATTTGCATTTTTTTTGTCCTACGTCAAGAGACAATGAACACGATTTTAAATACTTGCAGTTCATTGATGATTCAGTTATAATGCCGTTGACTCGACAATATTTCTGGCGCCTTGAAATTGGAAGTTTTTTGGGAATTTCGGTACAATCAATTCTGAAGGATTAAACACCGTAATTGTACTTTTGAATTCAAATGACGGTTCAGTTTTTTTAATAAACACGGGAAAAAGATTGAAAGGTCGCTTTCGCAAATACCTTTCAAATATTTACGAAATAATGCCTTAGGCCGCTTTAAACGTTTTAAATTCGTTGCTATTCTTTTTCAAACAGAGCCGTGCGTTCAAATTTTTTTAGCTCCAAAGTTTCGCCGAAAAATCATATTTTTCATTGAAATTTTTTTTCTTCTGTTTGTGTCTTAGACTTACGACCACTCAAGGATATTATCTAAACAACTAAGTATCGTCAAATTAATTAATTTTCTCCATCGAAGGCGGCTAACTGCAATGAAATCGGATCAGCTTTTCAAAACTTCTTACAACGGTTCATCCGCCTTCGTGAACTTGTTCTTGATCCTCTACAGAAGAGGTCTTAAACTAACGTTCTTCATCCGCCAATCGTGAAAACCCCCGGTTCCATGAGAGTGGTTTGCCAATTTTGGCCGGACATACGTCCCTGAAATGCCCAATGTCGTATTAGCAGAGACCAATTTTTTGAGAAGTTTATCTCTTGATTGCAAAGTACCCCACTGTATATAAATTCATAATTTGTTTTTCTGAATGTTATTTTGCACAATTACAGCTTTCTACGAACCCCTGTGCGCTGTTTCGAACAAAAACTGATGATGAACTGGTGATGGTTTTCGCCAAAAATTGGTTTTTAATTTGCTTCAACAATACGGCATTCAGTAAGTCTTCTGGCTGCCTCTCAATGCTCTCCAGTAACAATAAACACACAGTAATTACTACTTAAAAACTGGAAAGAGAAAGTTATAAGCGATAAGCATCTCGCTTATCGTTGTTTTTCAAATTATGCAGATTTAATGCATCTCATGAATGTTGACAAGTTTATGTAGGTCGATTTTGGTTCTCTACATTATCTTGGTCAAAACCTATTCCAGTTGGGAAAAAGAGTCTGACATGAAATGAAAAACAAACGAAAAAAGGATTGTTAAAAAGAAGGAATAAGGAGAAAACACTACACCATGGAGAGAGGTTTTACTCAAAAAACATCAACATTCATTATTTCATGAAGACAATTTCAAACATGGACTTTATCCTTTTCTGCAAATTACTATTTCTTCAGGCAAATTCAAAACATTTTTAATAAATTTGTGTAGTTCACGTTGGCTTAAGTTACTGAAAAATTTTGATACTTTAACCAAAAGCAAAATAACCTTTGTATATCTTTAATGAAATCGCTTGGCTTCAGGAGCGGCTAGGTGAAAATGGAAAATCGTCCTGCCTTACTTTAATCAAATTTGGAAAATTTGTTTACCACAATGGCAACCATATCGCTTAGTAATGTAGCACGAATTTTAAATCTCAGGGAAATGAGTGGCTTAAAACCTCGTTACCTCTTTAAGTTTTACTAGAAAAGTTGTATCCCAATCTAAATAGATTCCAGTGGTTCTAAATTAAATATTTCGTGGTTTCAATTGAACGAAGTTAAACTTCCCTGTGGTCTCTCACGAATCCGTTCCATAATTCACGGCCAAGCAGGTAGCTTATACCAAACAACTTATTTTTTTTCATTCCAAAAGCATAAAAGCGAAATAAAATAAGGCAAATTGAAATAAAGACTTACCAAAAATGGTATTTCTGTTTTCTATTCTGAGCAAGCTTTTGTCGTCTTTAGTAAATGAAATAATTGAATAAGCAGTTGACACAGGCGGTATTCGGGGGCCGGAAAACTTGTCGACAAGTCATTGCAACTGCCTAGAGCCACGGAAACATACGTAAATCATTTACCGATAAATTAAACATAATTTTATGTAGAATTGCATAAGGTAAATACGAAGGCTCATTGGAAGATGAATTTTTTCAGACTTTCTCTTGAAAATGGTTCAGTATTTACTAAGGTCATTGAAATTATTCCAGCGGAAATTTTTCTTCGGTTTTCACGTATTTTTTCTAAATCGCTCCATCGGTATAAACCTTAAAGAAAATATTTACTGTTGGTTAATGCAAAATCATGAGACGAAATATGATTCGATCACCTGCCATGAAAACAGGAACAGTACAGAATAATGATTGACACACCACCTGTGTGGTATCCATGACAACTAACTGTTTTGAGCGGGGCGCTTGGGAAAAGGACAAAAGACGAGGGAGTGAGTGAGGAAATGAAAAATGGCTTCGTCATCTAATGCTATGATCGCTGTTTTAGAACTGAGACAAAAAGTGCTGAAAATAGAAAAAAAAATCTTAATATGATCTTAAAAGGAAAAAGCCTATGTTGTGTCTCTTTCAAATTAGTAATTTCATATAACACTTACTTGACTGGCGAACATCTCACATATTTTCCAAATATTTTAATTTCAAATTTGCAGTCCTCATTTATTTCTAAAAGGTTTATTTGATAGAGCACAAGACGGAGATCCCGTATTAAACAAAATCCACAGTTTACTTATCACGAACGAAATTTTGTTGACTAAAAAGGATAAACAATATTTTGGTGAATCTCTACAACGATCTCGGTTACTTCCTTTATCATTTAATTCATTTGCAAAAATAAGGAAAATTTAAGCCCAAAAATGTCGTATTTTCTTCCATGAGAGGGATACCATTTTGTATGTATCTTCATGCAGTTTTCACTTTTCCCTTACCTTGTATGCGGAAGGATCCTGAATTCTTTCTCGACGCTGAGCAAATAAGATACTGCTTGATACTTTTGGAGTATGACACTTGCTGATTGGTTCAAATCTTTCCTAGTAAAAACCACAGATCGTATAATTACTATATTTTTATTGGTATCTATTTACAATATTCTGTCTGAAACAGAATAATAAAGCTTCCCATTTAGGGCTTGTCAACTTTTTGCAGGCTTCATTCGTAATTATATGGATTCAAAACTTCAGTTTTACAATCACAAATTTGTTCCTGTGGCGGACTATATTTTCTGGTGGAATGTTTGTTTATTCGGGTTAGCAGTATAAAATCGAACGTGTTTCCTTTTAGTCAACTCACGGAATGATATCAGACTGAAATGTATGAAAACAGCGTGGAAACGAAGTGTCAACACTTTCAATCAACGTTCTGATTCCTTAAACTTAATTGATGAAGGGATTCTTGCTAACCATCAAATATTCAGTGTCTCTTTGTTAACTTAACAGCCTTATTTACAGAAACAAAAAACAAAACAAAACAAAAACTAATCATTAATAAAAAATGTCTACTGCACAAGTGAGAACTCAAAGACAAAATTGGGTGGGCGAGTCGAGGTTTCCGTTTCAGTTTTGCATCTGGTCGTAAGCGTAATGAACAAAACCCGACGCAATCTCAGATTAATTTCGACAATGGAATGAAAATCTTCTTCTCGTCTTGTAATGGATTCAAAAGCGAGTTGAAAAAAAGCGGTCACTTTTCTGATGAGCTAAACCAACCGCAGTGAGAACGCAATCAAACTAATTGAAAGAGACATATATATATATATATATTTTTTTTTTTTTTTGTTGGGA